TTAATGTCACTTTAAGCGTTCATTTTGATACAAAAATAAAAAAAAGTTATATTCATCTGATTCTCCGAGCTGGCTTGCTCTTAGACCAGTCCTTTCTTACTGCACTCCCCTCTGCTACAGCAGTCCAAGGTTCCTGAGTCATCACTTTCTATACACAGTGTATAGGACGTGAGGATGCTGAGGGACATACCATTGTTGCAGCAGAGGAGAGGCTGGAGGGAGCGATGTAGGAGCCAGCAGTCTCCGAGGATCAGGGGCATATTTTTTTATTTTTGTACCTAGACCAAAACAGGCACACACAGGGTGTAGCTCCACTGCAAGGGTTAATAAAATATTTACCCGTAGTTCTTTAAGTAGCCATTGTAGTGACTGATCTGCAAACTTTTACATTGATAGAGTAACTTCATTTTTGTAAAGAAAAACATAAATCCTCTCTGGGTGATCCGAGTACATTACAAGGATTTTAACAAACTTTGTTGCAGTTTCCTACCGTCTTCTGTTCTGAAGAAAAAGCAGTTTGTTGCAGCAGGTCATCTCCATACTGATCCCTGAATGGGAAGGCTCTGGATTCATTACGACCAGCCTGGTGGACTTCCAGTGCTGTAATTGGGAAAGGTGCAGTGTCGGCATCCCTTTAGTAGTAATTAACCCTTAGGGAGTATCTCAACAAAAAAGACAAAGACATTCATATTGCAAGTGTTGCCTAAAATTGTACTTTGTGCAGACTCAGTGGCGTCACAAGGGGGGTGTGCGGCCCGCACCCGGGTGACACCATTGGAGGGGTGACACCAAAACGACTCAGTCATTTTGGTGTCACCCCCCTCCGAAAAGTCGGGCGCTCGGTCATGGACCGAACGCCCGACAGTATCAGGAGAGGGGAGGGGACCCAGCGGCATACCTTATTCCGCCGGGTGGCTGTCTCCTCCTCTCTCTGTCGGCGTCCATTACCAAGATGGCTGCCGGCAGGTATCAGATTACTGATGACGTCATCGCGCACGCGCGACACTCAGTTACCGCTCCGGGTGTCACCCAGCCTCGGGACGCCCCTGTGCCGACTCCTGGGAAAATCAGTCAGCCAATCACAGAAGCAGGAAGTGACATTTCTGGGGAAATTTTGTACACTGTGTACAGAACTCCTCCAGGTTGCCATATTGCATTACATTTCTTTTGACAGTTTTAGAAAATTACAGCAGCTGCGGTTTGAAATGGAAAGGTCACTTTTAATAACATTAAATTACAAAATGGTTTGTGCAACAAATATAAGTTATATTCATTACATACTTTCATTTTTTTTAAAGTGGAATTACCCTTTAATTGAACAGCAAAAATAAGTTAGAGAATGCATGTGCATATGATAAAACGATATTTAAAGGTTAACACTGCAATAATAAGTCAAAGTGATTGTGAATATACTTTCCCTTTAAATATGCATTTATACTCAGAGAATATTGCCCTCTATGAGGAAGTATGAGCCCTCATAGTTCTTCATGATACACGGCCCTTGTTTAGAAAAATTCCAATTGTTTCTGTATTCAATGACTTTCTAATAAATGTAACTTGATTCCAATAGAGATATTGTACACCAAGAAATATGAATGAAATTATTTACTAAACCCTTTTCCAATCTGTTCCCAAATGCTATGGAATTACCTTGATCACCATCATGACCTTATGGTCATGGGGGGCATCTACAGGAGGTTTAGGAAATCTTTGGCCTACTCGTTGTGATGGAAAAAAATGAAAGTAATTAAAGTGGCCCTGTCACTACAGGGTGAAAAAAAAATCACATACCAATAACTACAGAAAGAAAAGGCGCTATACTTCCCTTTCAGGTGGTTTGTGTCTTTGAACACCGCCATGACGCTGCTTCCCAGCCACACTGAGTATTCAATATCAGGGTGGGTTATTTCCTGATACCCCCGCTGCACACAGTGTTTCCTCCCACTGGGTCATATGTCGTTACAGGACATATGAGTCAAAAAGCGGAACTACTTCATGTGACAGGGGAAACAGCTAATCGACTCATCCAGCCAGTGGAATCCATGCAGCGGCTGGGTAGTAACATTGCAGTGACATTTTAAGCCGCAGACCACCAGAAAGGTAAGTGTAGTGCCTTGTTTTATTCTACAGGTATTATTTTCTTTTTTTTACTTTAATTGCAACGCCTGTAATAAGAATTGCCTGCGGTGCCCATAGCAGCTTCTTATCAGAAAAGTTAGAAAAGGAAACAAAGAAGCCCACTGATTCTTCTTATTATAGACACTAGCTACCTATAGAAAGAAAACAGATGGTGACAGGAGCATTCCAACGGTAAAAGTCCCATTAAAACAAGACATATTAACCAGAGAGACACACTGAACTTGTGCCATGATTTACAAACACAAGTCACATATGGCCTAAAGCCTAATGACAAGCTAGTGTGCCGATTAGTATTTTACAAATTCTGCGGAAATGGACACAAGTCCATTCACAGGGAGCAATTTACTAAAACTGGATCAGAGAGAATCTGAAGCAGCTATAACTTTAGCTTGTTCATTTAAGTTTTTAAAAGGAAAGCTGGAAGCTGATTGGTTGCCATGTGCAGCTGCTCCAGTCTTAGTAAATTCCCCTCACAGGGTTTTCCCACATAAAAAAGTACATAATCCCATTGTTAGTAATAACAAGTGCTTTGATTGTTTCAAGTGCTTCCACTGCCATTATAGAAGAGTAGAGAGAAGGGAGGTGGCCTTACCTTCATCTTCTACATTTACATCACCCTGAACCCCATCCAAAAGGATTCCACATGGTAACATAACCATGAAGTCTGTTCAACCAGGAGAACCTATTCACATTCTGCAGAATTGTAATTAGAAATCCTATTCTTTCTTATGCGATTGGTTGACATCCATTTGCTGCAGTAGATTTTAAACAGAACCATTACCACCTGTGACTGTGCAGTACCACATGTTCAATGGTTTAAATCCAAGCAGGATGATAAAAGTCATCGTACAACTATAACTGAACAGGCAGGTTAGAATGTCATATATAGCAGCACATATCTCTCAGGTGATACCTGAAGTCCTAAATCTTGTGAGCAGCATGGATACACTAAGGACATCGGTCAGGAAGATACATGAGGGCAGCCATTGCTGGTTCTCCTCCTGTCTACAGCATTTAGAGCCACAGACCAACCCAGAACAAGTCTGCAGATAAGGACTTCTGACTATTCCAAGATGAATATTTGTTTCAGGTCAATGACTCAGTACTGAAACCAGAGGATCAGCAGCCTGTATGTATAGCAAAGCAACAGGTTTGATTTAATGCCCCCTCTCCAGCAGTACATTGTATGGAGGAGCGTGTGACTCACTCCATTTCCTCTCATGTGTGAGCACTGATAATTGGTGGTTAACCTATCAGGGTCACAAGGAAGCAATTAATGATCGGGTGACAGCAGCAGTCTGCGTGTAATTGTACATTCACCATTCATCCTGTTAGAGATGAGACAGGACAGTAAGGTCTTGTTCACTCAGGGCATTCTGGCATGCTTGCGGCTGGAACCTATGGATTCCTGTGGCAGGAATGTCAGGTGTCCCCGTTTAGATGTGGCTACTGTGTGGTTCAAGTTAATGACTGGGTGACAGCCGCTGCGTTGGTAAGCTGCAGTCTGTGTGATACGATTGCATGCAGTTTGGAAGAGATCACTGTACTTGGATGCAACATACATGTATTCAGGGACAGTAATCACATACAATTACATGCGGACTGCCGCTTACAGATGCAGCCGCCGTCACCCGGTCAATAACATAAATGGGTACAGTGGGCAAATCTGAACTGGGACACATGGCATACCTACCATAGGTTCTTGCTGCAGGAATCACAGAATGCATAAAAATGCCCAGCCTAAGACTACTTCCCTTAAGAAACTGCAGCAAAAACAATATTTGAAAAATGAAAAATCAAATGTTTTAAAATAATAATATTTGAATAAAAGCTCAATTTTAAGAAAGAAGGTGCGTGGACAAAAAAGCGCATCATCCTCGTCAATAGTGTTAACTAGTAGCTGACCAGAGCGGCAGGAAAACAAAGGTGTGATGGGGCAGAAGAGCATTAAAACAGATCTGTCACTTTTGCCCTGCATGAACAAATCACAGGTTTGCTTTATCTTACCAAAAAGAAGTCATTTAGCTAAGGGTTCCTTTATCTGGAAATGACCTTCAAGGAAATCAAAAAGTATACACAAATATATTTTTAATATACAATTTTACCCCCGGCAAGGTCTGAAATCATCTATGGTACAATTTGTCAAATATAAATGAGTTCATGTTTGAGATTTTTGTGCCTCCTTTAGAAAAAGGGAATAGAACTGTTCGTACAAGTCAGACAGAAAATGTATGTGTTGGAAACAATGTATGTTACTTGAAACCAGGGGTAGGCAAACTCTGGCCCTCCAGCTGCTGTGGGACTACAAATCCCATTAGTAAAGTAGATCACCAGCACACCAAAGTAAAATCTTCAACGAGCGGTCATTTTATTGATGTACACACATCTCGTCATAAAGCAATATTTCGGGGCCGCTCAGGGTTCCTTGATCAAGCATGACTATTTGGATTTGAAGTGGCGCCACATACCAGTACGGAGTGCAGTTGGAACCTCTTTGGAACTTACAAATCGCATTAAACACTGCAGGACTGACAGCCACAGGCATGACTTTCAGAGGCAGATGCATAATGGGATATGTAGTTTCACCACAGCTTAAGGGCCAGAGTTTGCCTACCCCTGCTTTAAACTTTCCAGGCATGGTTCCTAGAACACCTTCAGTTTGACATTGCCATAACATTATGGAAGCGTGGAAGAATTCACAGCAAAGAGCCCTCCCCAAAACGCTGTCAGCCGGTTGTTAGGTGGCCATGCCTCCACCTCCCACATTCCAATGTGCCAGTGTATATTACATGGGCCATCGGAGTACACCTTATTGCATCATTGAATGTAAACCCAGATGGCAAGAGAAAAGTCAACAACTATGGTTCTACCACCTGTGGTTATAAATAAAGTCCTGCAGCAATAGCTTTATAAATGTGCAAAGGAGTTCTCGCTTCCTTATACCTTCTCTATTCTGTTATAAAACCACAAACTCTGCATGTCACTGCATTGCTATTCTTCTTTTTAAAAGTTAACATTGCATAAAGTAACGCACCTCGTTACACTTAATCACTAATGAAAAGTATTCCAGTATCATTGTAGTCCTTGTGCGACAATACATTAATCTGTCAACCCCACACAGATCTAAGCATATAAAAAATGAATGTCTTCATAAAAAAGAATATTTGATCCTGTATTCGATCAGATTACATTAAAAATATTTTATAAAACCATTCACACTAATTACACATAGCGCATCAACTGGAAAAATACTGTTTGTGGATGAAAGTATAGTTAATGACACTGCATGCCAATGCTGACGCCACAATACAAAACTGTCAGGACTGTAAGAAGCAGATTAGTGGTCTCCCGACAAAAGAGACCATGTTATAAAAGCAGTAGCTCATGCTGCGATGAGGTTGGACATAAAGGAAGTAGCAATGGACATGTTTCTCACCACATTCTGTATAATTAGACCAGCTTGTTCAGCTGGTTGTTTGTCTCTTGCTAGATCTTTGACAATATCTGTACTCTATAAACCACATGACAAGGCAGTTGCTTAATAAATGCTGTTTGTGTTTAGATTTTTAAATAATAAAACTTTCTTCTCAGGTTTCTGTATCAGCAGTAAAAATAGCACAAAAACTGACTATATTGTTCAGTGTTCTGTAATTAAAAATCATTTAACAAGAACCAGAATCATTCATCATGTTGACAAGGAGATTATTCTTCCTTCCATGTCAGGACATTGCACAGACAGCAGCATTCTATATAGTCCACAGTAAATCGATTTTCCAAATTCCTCCACGTTTTAGCACGATGCCAGAAAAAGTCAAATCCTCCTTAACTGATCCTGGTAACAGCCTAGTGGAGTTTCTCATGTTGGATTTGGTAATAGCAGGCCTGTCAGAAAACAAAAGCATCAGCATCAGTACATGACATATGTGATTATGTCTGCATCTAGTATGTTTATTTGAACAACAAATGTGAAAAACTGCTGCATACAAACCTAAGATGAGGTTACATTTTCACTATGGTAGTGTTATCTTGCCTATTCACTCAAAATTTCATGTGCTTTATAATATCTACTCAAAGCGAACCCGTGCCCAAAAGTATTTACATATTCGGAACGAGCAGTAACAGCTCTTTAAACAAGCACCCCATTCAACTTGAAGCTCAAAATGCTAGCAAGCCAAGTGCCAAATTTGGTCAATTTCCAATGGGCCATTGGCAGTACCCACAATTGCTCAACTTACTTGCAAGCACCTTTTAACCATGAGACTCGAATGAGATCCTAATAGGTTGGACTTGATGGACTAATGTCTTTATTCAACCTCAAATACTATGTAACTATGTAACTTGCAGGCTCGTTGACCTCTTTTGAAGCCCTACACATGGAAAAAAAAAATCCTTGGCCATACCCTCTCAATAATTCACAAACTGTTATTGAATCATTTCTCAGGCTTAGATTTATTCTATATAAGAGAATGGGAAATTAAACAAGGGGCAAACTTTTTCTCCCCCACAAAATGTTTAAGTTAACCTATAGCTCTTCCATTATTACAAAAATTCATGAATCATGTTATAAGTTACTGACTCTATGGTATAGGGACCCTTCCCTAAGCTATATATACCTACACCTCTGACCTTTGTTGGAGAGGTAGTGGACTAAAGGGCACATTCCTACACACTTGGTGGGAATGCTCCAAACTCAGTTGCCTTTAAAAGACGGTTAAGACAGAGATACACACTGAGTGCATCTCATTTACTGGAGTTTCCTTCTGTTTTTCTGCTCCATAATACCAGCCAATTCATAAAATCTAATAGAAATAACATTTAATTAATGCCGCTAAAGGCCTGATTCCGGCACACTGGAAAAGGGCACAGTCCCCAACCATTGAGGAATGGGGAGATAGGGTTAATACTATTTTGGAGGTTGGATGTTGGTTCCATACACAAAATGATAACTATGGTAAATTTGATAGAATATACATACTTAACAAATTATTTTTCCCTATTTCAATAGCTACAAAATTTGGCAGCCTGTCAGCAATCTAATGTAAACAAGGATGGCTTATTATAAAGCTCTGTAACTGCTTGCTAGGAATATGTGAATCTGTCCATAGTCTGGGCACAGGTGCACTTTAGGCTGTAACAGGCCAAAAAAATTAAACATCAATCATTCTCTTAATATCACAAAATGACTATTACAGTTAAAGTAGATGAGTGATGTTGATCAACAATGCCTTTTGCATACAAATGCCATAAGTCTGTGTCTGACTTGCTTTGCTTTACCTGCAAAGCCAACGGATCTCAGAAGGACCTGCTAAATCCAAGTGAATGCAACAACAAAGCAAAGCAGGCCAAGTGGTCAACCCCCCTGAAGTAAATGGAAAGTACATTTTGTGCTTCAAATGTTTCTCAAATGCAGGAAAACAATGCCCAATTGGAAAACAGAATTAGAAAAGGGGTGCTTCTGTCCTTAGTAAAAAGTACATACAAGGCAGAAAATGATTTGGGTGAGTCACTCCAAACAGAACAAGGACCAGCTTACTTGAGTTGACCCTGCTGTTTGCCTAATGGGACGTTTTTGTCAAGTTTTGTGTAAATTCCTTTTGTTGGAGTTTACTGGGTGAATCTGGAAGTCTTTAACATTTGGGGTTCACTGCTGCCTATGGGAAGATTGGACACTAGAAACAAAATTGTAGGCTAGTCTAGGAAAACCCCAACTACTATCAACTTGCCTCAGTTTTGTAGCAAAGGAATACGAAGATCATGATCATAAGCACAGAGGGGTGGGGCCTGTTTCCATCAATGGATTCCAAGAAAATTATTTTTCAGGGAGTACATAGTTCCTGTTTTCTTTCTTGTCCATTGATGGTCACAGAAAGTCTTTAACATTCAGGATATCCAAAAGCAGTCCAACTAAGGAATGGGCAACACAGCAAACAAGCCCAAGAAAAAACTCAGGGGACTGCCTGCATCTCAAACAGCCACCTGAAGGACCTTACGCTGACCTCTGATAAGGTGAAAACCAGTAGAAATTTGGGAACATGTAAACGATAGACCAGGTGGCAGTCTTGCAAATCTGTGGAACAGTTGCTTAATGTGGAAAAGCCCTTCAAATGCTCACAGATCTACTAGAGTGCGTCTTGACAGGAAAGAGATGGATCAAATCCTTGAGACCATAAGTTTGACTGACGGTCTTTCTCAACCACATAAAGATGGTAAAACAAAGAAGCCAGGGCACCCTTCTAAGGTCCATTCAGGATGACAAAAAGTTAATCAGTCTTTCTGAAAGAAGCAGTGGCTAAGAGATAGAATTGCACAGCTCAAATCACATCAAGACAATGAATGGAAAATACATTTTTTGATGAATCAGAGCTGGACAGAGGGACACGAGAGCAATGCCCTAGAATGAGGTGGAAGGTAAAAACTACCTTAGACAAGAAATAAACTCATGGGCCTCAACACCACCTTGTCCCTCTGCAAGACTAAAAAGAGTTCTTTGCAAGATATGGGCACCAGTTTCGAGTGAGAGCATAGAGAGAAATGTCTCAAGTTGGTTCAAATGGCAGTTTCTGAAGTGTAGAGAGATCCCTATTCAGATCCCATAAAGTAACTGGTGAAAGGAGAGGGCGAGCTACACAGGAGAGTGACAAGAGTGAGTGGCCTCTGAAACAGAATGGTAAGGGCAGACACCTGACCCTGATAATGTTGAAAGCTTAACACTAGTCTAGCTCCATGAAGGAGAGGATCTGTCCCACTGAGAAACTCCTGGGGTGGAAGTCCTCCACATCTGATGACAGACCTTGTGAGAAGTAGACTTCCTAGCTTTAAGCATCATAGGAATCACAAACCAGGTAATTAAAGCAAATGACTGAGAATCAGGATGGCAAATCAGCCCTTGGGATAGTAGATCCAGATGGTTTGACAGGACCCATTGTTCATCTGCTAGAAGCCTTAGCAGTGGCAAAAGTATTGCCAGATCAGTATATCACATTCATCTAGGCTACTGTGGTGCAATAAGGATCACCAAAATGTCTGACATCTCAATCCTGTGGAGCAGACAAGGAAGACGTTTTAGGGGAGCAAATGCATAGATTAGGGTTGCTGATCCCATGGTGGCCCCAGAGAATTAACTGGTTTTACCAGAATGGAGGACATATTGTATGCACATATGATATACAATTATGTTCTAAAAGGTTTCAGTTGGTATAGGAGGAGCTGATGTATTGATTATGTATACATTGCTTATAAACAGCTTTTAGTTTCAAGTCCTCTTGTTGATAATTGGTCTTCTAATGCAGTTTATCCCAATGCACAACCCCTCACCCGCTTTCCTCTCTTTCTCACCTTCACTTTAAGGCTTTTTGGGACAGCTCTGAGATTACAGTGTATGTATTTTACACAATATACTTAGAACAAAAATTACAACCATGAATATAGTAGTTATAAATTCTGTCAATAGCCACGTCAATGAACCATAAAATGTCTGTTAATACTTGTTAAGACATTCTTGGAAAATGGTTTTACAGCATCATAATATTTTCACCTTTAATGTGGTAAACATTATCCCTTGCTCTCCATGTTGCAGATATGGATCCATGAGATCTTCTATTAGATGGACTTCAGATCCCAGATTCCGTATTCTGTGCAAAAAGTAAAGAGGAACACTGGTAGCTGCCAATATCATTTTATACAAGAATCGGGCACACAGACATATATAAGCATTAAACCAACCTGGCTCTCAGAACCACATAAAGGAATACAGGAAACAGCTCATCCATGGACCACAGAAAGCCTTCCTCGAGAGCCTCTTGAGCTTCCAGTGTAATTTCCTCAAAGGTTTGCTGAATGACCTTGAGTTTATCTGATGGTGTGAATGTAGTGCTGAGGAATAACAAAATGTGAGACATATTAAAAGGAGAACTATGAGGTGAGTGCTTTTCACTCACCTCATAGTTCTAGCCGACCTGTGACAATGAGACTGTCACAGGTCGGTTCAGTAGATCGGGAGGTGAGTGAACACATACCGGCGTTCGCTCACCTCTCGATCCTGTCACGGCTCTCTGCCGTGACAGGGGAGGGGCTGGATGCCCCCCTCCGATCCGCCAGCGCTGACTGGCTGAACGGACGGTGGAGGCTGGCTCTGCCTCTAGATAGGCAGAGTCAGCTGTCAGTCACGCAGCTGGGCGGATCCCGGCATAATTGTCGGGATCCGCTTCAGCTGCGGCGTCTCAGTATACTGCGAGCTACAGCCCGCGTTATACTGAGCCTAGGGTGACGGGAGGACGCTAGTTTGTGTCCTCCCGTTACCCTAAGGAGAACTATGGGGAAAAGCCCTAACCCCATAGATCTCCTTTAATATACCACCCAAAGCCTAATATAATATTGAAGTCAAATATGATGGATGCCAATCAAACCCTGCAGGAACATCAAAATATTGCTGACGAATTTCAGGATTGGTATACAGAGCAAAAAATACTCGCCTTTTTCAAGTGGAGTAAACAAAGTGTAACTGGCATGCTACTTTCTGCAGAATTTTCATCAGCAAAAGAATGATGCCTCACTCATCCAGCCAGTCAGGGTCACATGGAAACAAGTGAGCATCTTCTCTACACTTATAAGTGATCCTGTTGCTGGCAGGTTGTCACCAATAACAGGGCCGTAAATGTACAATGCGTCTTTGTTCTTTCCTATAGAAGGTATATACTGGAGTTGCTTTATTTAACGTAAGCTGTAAAAACACAGTTGTATTGTGTAGATAGATAGTATAGTATAGGATAAGTTTCTAACCACGGGCTTGCTTAAATTTTCTGGACATTTTGCTTTACATGTAAATGTTATTCTCACTTTGAGCTGTAGAAGCCTTACTTTCTCCACATAATTGCTTATGGCTATAGGCATGAAATAATAGCATGTACTTCACGTACTAATACCTTATCTGCTGTAGACACTCCACTGCAGAGGAAAAACAAGAATCTTTAGTGCTTGGTAACACCTAGAAAGAATAAAAAAATAATAATTACTAACTACTGTCTAAAGGTCTGTGAATGCTATTATTGATCTAAGTTATGATATAGCTATTGGTAACTAGTTACATAACAAGCACAGCTGAATGTAATGTGGAATGACTACAAAGCCACTTGGATGAGTAAAATCGTGAGGGAAAATACTTGTCATCCCCCCCCCCCCTCCCTTATTTTTTTTACCTTTTTGTTTTCGCCCAAGAAATTAATGCTAGTCGGCCAAAATTTCCTATAGAGAAAAAAAAAGACAAAACAAAAAACAATGAAGCAAATAATATCTTCTAATACAGCCCATCTCAACCAGGGTACTGTTGAACCCTAGGGTTCCTCTGAGGTTACTAGGATTTCCTTGTGCAATGAGCAGTGGTGCATTGTTCGCCAACCTATACAGACCACCAATGCAAGGGGCAATTTTCTGCAGACTACCTACACAAGGTGATACATGTACACGGTATACTGATGTTAGGGCATGCCACAATTTTCACCTACCACGTTTCTTTTCTATTGTTATTATACTATTTTTAAGATGGTCACTGAAAACAATTTTGTCATATGCAGCAGGTAGGTGGTAAAAATGATCTGCCCTGGGTATCAGATACATTAACTATATTACAATACATTCTTTATTCTTTTATTGAAAACATTCTACAGCTTACGGATCATGCTTATGTACTTTGACCTGTAGGTTATCAGGGGTTCACGGAGACCTAAACATTATTTAAAGGTTCTTCTGGGTAAAAAGGTTGAGAAAGACTGTTCTAAATTGTTGACGTTTATACAAGCGGTGGCACTGTGTAGGTTCCTTACTGGGCAGGTAAAGGTGAAGTAATTCTACAAATGTTCTATTCTACTCCTAGGTCTAGAAACAAGAATTTGAAATTTACACCACCTCAGCCTGATTCCGTGTGGACCAATTCACTGTGAAGATTTGCAGCATGAAGCGATGAGATTGGTTAGATCGGTTTACTTACTCTTGTATACCCAAGAAGGCGAGAAGTGCTGTGTCCGTCTGCTTGTTCAATCTCAGGACACACTCCCAGTAGGAGTCTTCTTCCTTTTCATGCTCCAAAGCATAAAGCATAAATAATGGAGGGTAGAGTCTAGGCAGCAGCACAGGCAGCAGTAGTCCTGAACTAGTCACCACATACCTACACGGCAAATATACATTCCATTAACTCATGGCAGATTTAACCCTTCATATACTAGCAAATCCAAACAGCATTGTCAATGATTAACCATTTTTTTTAAACTGTCTTTTTCACAGGAAAGATGGACGTTTTGTCCCAATAATGAAAAGATGTATAAAATACAACTAAAATTAGCCTTTTGCAGAAGTGCACTAATACTGCAATATCTTATTGATGACAACAAAGGGTTAACCTTTAATGTCCTAATGGAAAATGCTGTTTTCTTTGGTGACTAACAGGATTTTAACAAAAATATATGGTAAAAACTCTGAATGACCATTTCCAGTATTCTGGTATCTATATCTTACCCTGGTTCAGGGGATTCAGACCCAGACCCTGCTCTTCCATTACATATATGAGGCTTGTCTGGACATTCTTTGACAATAGTTGATGCCTGAATTGTGCTGCCTTCTTCAGGAAGATCAGGAAACAGAAACCTTAAACACAACAGAAAAATGACATACCTTGAATATCTTGCATACAGTGCTAGTGGCTCCCTATTCAGGATGGAAACCCTATACTGTTTTCCAGCCGCGTGCATCGCTATTGTTATCAGCTTTAAAGTAGATTTAAACCCAACTACTAAAATTCCATATGAGCTTTAAAATGTTAATGTAATTGTTTTTATTCTTGTTATCTTTCATTAAAAAAATACCTGTTCCTGCCATGAAGGCTTTTATTCCGGCACTTCCTGTTATGGGGGCTACAGCAGTCTCTAAGTTACGCCCCTGCATTGTTATCCTGTCACTTGTGTCCCTGGTGCAGACTACATGCAACAATGCCAACACACTATGCAGACATGGCCCATCTTTGTCAATCTCAGGAAGCTGGTCCAGAGAAATGATGTGCAGACGACACTGGAGTGCGTGTAGGTAGACAGAAGTGCTTGGAAAAAAAAAGGCTATTGGAGATCAGCAGCAGCAAATCACTAAAATCAAGCTTTACTACCATGTCTGGTTTGAAATTCAATGCCATTGTAATAGCTTTTGCAGGAAGATGCTGAGGGAGCACCAGTGCATGTTAGTGCTCTAGTACCAGGGTAAAGAAGAATTTTCAAATGCCGAGTTTGTTTTTAAAAAGATGTTACAATATAACAACCAATTGCATACTACCCACAGCTAGAGTGACTGGTGAACACACAACACTGCTTGCTTTGCTTCCTGAAAACCCCCGCCGTGGCTCTTGGGGTCCCCACACCTCTGGGGGGCCAGGGACCAAGGCAAACAGTGTCAGGATGGAGAGTGAGAGCAGACTGAAGCGTGTCCGTTCCCCAGTAAGAGTGGGACCAGACCTAGGAACGTCCGTTCCTTGATGAGAAAGGGAGCAGAAAAAAGAAAGTCTGTTCCCAGATCTGTGATGAATGAAGCAGGAAGCGCTGTGCTCTCAGTGCTTTCAAAAGCCAGCTTCAGTGCCGGTTTTACAGGCGATCAAAACACATTCCTGCTTGATCGTCTGTGTTGGAGGGCAGAAGAGACCCCTGATGTCTCCATAAAGAGAACCCGTCACCTTCAATGCTATCACATAGGGGTTGTTAGCTCCCATGTGATAGCAATGAAGTGACTTTTTGGCAGCAAGACTGCAGAAAAATGGCAGCAGGTGCTTTAGCCTGATGAGTCATAAAGAGACAGAAGGATTTGAGGCAGCCTACGGTCACAGAAGATCTGTGGTTAGTTCAAGATGTTTGGAACCACTTGCCTGCCAAAAACTGTGTGCAAGAATATCTAGAAGAATTGATGCTGTTTAAAGGCAAAGGATGGGCACACCAAATATTGATTTGATTTGGATTTCTCTTTTGTTCATTTACTTTCCATTTTGTTAATGGATAAAAATAAACTATTAACCCCTTGCCGTCCGCCCACCGTAAAATTACGGGCGGACGGCGCATCCTTCCCGGCAGGGTCACGTAAATGTACGTCTTTTTTGTTTTTTGCTCGCGCGAGCAGAAACCTGCCGGGAAGGATAACAGCCGTTACCGGCTGTCTCATACAAGCGTTCGGCTGGCTCTATAGCCGGCCGATCGCTTGTATAAAGCTGAAATGTGCGGCGCCCCCCCTCCCTGCTGCCGCGCCCCTCCCCCTCCGTAGCCGCTGCCGGTTATCCCATCACCGCTGCCCCCCCTGCGGTGCCCGGGACTGACAGCACAGCAGCTGCTCGAAGAGAGGAGAGATCAGCATTTCCCACCGCTGATCTCTCCCCCTTCTATCTCTCTAAGGTCGGAAGCGATGTGTATTACATCACTTCCGCCTTTTGCTGTCATTTCTCTGGCTGGGAGCCAGAGAAGAAGCTGATGAAGCAGATCTCTGCTTCATCAGCTTCTTTGGGGGTCCCTAGGTGACATTAGGAGTCTTGGGGACCCCTGATGTCTCCATTAAGAGGACCTGTTATTGTTTTCTAGCTATCACATTGGGGGAGTTTTAGCCCCCAATGTGATAGCAATCAAGTTAAGTGTAAAAATTTATACATGTAAATATGCGTCGGGTGCGCCTACGTGCAAAAACGATTGCGCCGCGCATGTTACATGTCACCGTGAACGTCGCAGTGAGAGCAATAATTTTAGGGCCATCAATCACCGATAGCACTAAATTGATGAGCGGTAAAAGCTTATAAAACGTCATTTTATGGTCAATTTTAGGCATGTTAGTTTTTTGCGATTTTGTGGGCGCACCCAATTTTAAAGCTTGACATGTTTGGTGTCTATTTACCCGACGTGACTCCGTCTTTTATATTTTACCAAAAATTTGGGTAATAATAAATGTTTTATAACATAACGTAGGGAAAACAGTTTTTTTTTTCAAAATGTACGGTACTTTTTTCATTATATAGTGAAAAATAAAAACCCCAGTGGTAATTAAATACCACCAAAAGAAAGCTCTATCTGTCCCTAAAAAATGGTATAAAATTCATTTCAGTACAGCGTTGCATGACGGAATAAACGTCAGTCAAAGTACCGCAGCTCTGAATGCTGAAAAATGGCCTGGGCAGGAAGGGGGTTTAACACCCTGGTCAGCAAGTGGTTAACACTTTTATTTCTGAAAGCATTCTTACTTTGCAGCATTTTTTTACACCTGCCTAACATTTGCACAGTACTGTATATAATTCCATGACTTTAACAAAAAGATATCTAGTTGGTTGCTAACTAAATTAAATAAAACTAAATTAAATAAAAACAAAACAACAACCAGCAGAAATCAGGCTATTCTTATCTGGGTGATTACATGATAGAAATGTCTCACCTCACCAACTGAAAAATACGCTCCAGATAGGATTTGATTTCTCCCACTGCTTCTTTTAAGAGTCTTCTGTTGGCTCCCACACCTACATAAGTCATTCTGTATACAGCTACAAGGGTCTCCACAAGCCTTCCCAGTTGATGCATCGGTGTTTCACACGCCTAAGAAAAAGCAAAATGGTTGTAATAATCATTTACATACAGAAAATTAATGTGCTGTGTTAAAGTATGTTGCTTGTATCTTCCAAGTAATCAAAATGCAAAGATGGATCATAGAAGTGTAATGAATATACATTAGTATCTCTGACCTTGCATAATTCTCGGTTTAATCTCCTAACTGCTTTATAGAACCATGGAAGAGTCAGGCACAGATTTACTTTGTGTGTTCTATCGGATGCTCACTTCCATCCTACACATCAGCAGATAATTGGTGATTTTCCTGAGGATTCATGCCAAGGCTATTTTTTGCTTTTAATTACACCTTTGTCAAATATCAGTAACATTCTAATTAAAATGTATGCAGCCCTTATGCCCTAATACACACACCCTGCCCCACACATCGGCCATACTTCAACATCTTAACTTCAAAAATTACATTTATTAAATATGTCTTAATCTTATCATATTTCTCCATTGTGAAGGGACCATCGTGCTGAGGAATTCGCTCCAAACTCTCAAGTGTCTGTGTGTGGGATCGGGTCAGTGGTTCTGGGCTGAAAATAGAAAGATTACATTCATTAGTCGGATTATTGGTGACAACTTTTGCACAATGTCTATCCACTCTCACACCTCAACAGTTATATCTATAATCACACAGCCATGCTAGAGGGGGGCTCGGTAGGTTGATTTGATCAACGTGAAGCTATTCCTGATGGTTGGTTCTAAAATTGTGCACGGAGCCACATTACTCAGTACACATGTTGGGGACTGAACCCTAAATGCGATGTTTGGGTAGGGACTGTCAAATGTTGGTGCTACCTACCTCAATGGGTTTTCCCAATAAAATGCCATTCCAACAACAATAATAATGTTGAATACCCTTCTACTTCCAGTATCAAATGAATCCAGCTAAACAACATAGCCTACAGTATGGACTTTTTTTCTGCTACTTGTGTAGATAGCCCATTGAGATAATAAACCCAAGTAAAATCATTCACTAAACTGCTTATGCAATCTAAGACACAACACAACTTTGTTCAAGTAATTTAGTCCACACAGATTCCCTTTATCTTTTATATAGATTTATGCTGATCTGTTGCCACCAGCCTGAGCAAGGCTTATATGGCGCAGCTAATAGTGGTGAGCCACATTCAAATTAACTTGTCCTATAATGTTGAAGACATTTCACCAATTATTCTCCATCAGCTTTCTCAGTTCTAATGAGTGTCAGAAACATACCATACATATAACCTAATCACTTTAATCCAATCACCATGGTATGATGTAATGTGGCAAGGCAGATACTGACTGTCTAAGAACATGACAGCAGGTGTAAAAGTTTGTGAAACCAACTTGTTCTATTTACATAATCCTCCATTGCATAGCACCATGGTGATTCGATTAAGGTTACTGAAGCTGGGCATACATAATGTGAATTTCGGCTGGTTGTTCGGGAACTGGCAGAAATACGCACAATGGGTGCCGCCGTCGGCACTCTTTTGGCCAGCAAAACAGTGTATGTCCAGCCTGAGACCCATGTGGCTATAAATGTTGGTGTATGTTCCCGACACTCGTTAGAAGTGAAGATGCTACTTAGATGAGTAGTGAAATGTCTTCAACGTTACAGAGCAACTCTAGTTGAATGTGACTAACTACTACTAGATGACTCAGATAAATAAAAAACCTTTATCCCTTTCGCAGCCGGAGCTGTTTTTTTTGCACACATGTTAAAAACGCACATTTTACACCTGAAGATTACATTTGGTGGAAAGTGGAAGTGTTTGTCCGGCTTTACACATGCAAGCGAACTCCCGGTTACTATAGCAAGCTGCTTACAGGGCCACGCTGACGACGCCATATGGCATGTGGTGGCGGTGACAATGAAAGGGTTAAAGACATACTATTATAGAGCAGGTCCTGCATTTAGAGCACCCATAGGATAAGGAGAACACATACAGTATTTGGGATTAGGAATTCTTACAAAACCAGATAACTTTCAACCACATTATTATTTTATAACAAGCTAATATATTGCACTCAAACATGAAAAACAAGCCCCCAGCAGACAGGCTGTGCCCCTGCATGTATTTTAAGGACAATTGATTTACGTTTGACTGGAGTATATATATATTAATCAGTTGAAAGAGCCAGACGATAAAACATATGCTCTAGGAGACAGCTATACAAAAAGTACATATGATATAAATCATGATTTTGGAACAGACCTTTCCTGCTGTTGTCGCCTCTTAGTAGTAATAGCCACAGCAATGTTATCCCAGGCCTTCTGGGGATCTCCTTTTCCAGGAATCTCACAACCAAGCTGATTCCAGCACTCCTCAAAAACAGCCTTCCATTTCTCGTTAGCTGGGACTGAAAGGCGACCCAGATTTCTGTAGGAGGAACATGGTTAAAAACCGCATAAGAATTCCCTTTTCTACAGCTTACTAAGTGGAGAACTTTGTTCGATGTCAGGAGGAGTCATATTTGTTTAAAAAGACAAGGGTTTGAAACATTTGAAGCTAATTAACACTTTCAAAAGCTTATGTTAAAATTGTTATACTTAGAAGAGAGAATGAGCAATTACAACTGCACAAAACAGGTTAAACAGTAGTACTGTATCATGTTTTGTCGAGACCGCCACACATTTAGAATTGTTTTTTTAAATACATACAACACATAATAAACAATAAAAGAACAAGTACATTGGCTATGATGGTACACTACTGTAAACTAATTGCTGTGTATTGCAGATCAGGCACAGATGAGCTTCATATAAAGTATTACACCCGGTTGTGCCTTCAAGCTGCAGATTAGAGGGTGATTCATTCCATAGGAGAAAAGGCAGGAGTGGCTTGTTCACCACAAAGTGCAACTACCCCTCAGGAGTGGACAAAGGGAACGTTTTTAATTTTTCCAATTTTTGTGTAGCTGGGGTAAGCGAGTACTCCGCCTTTTGAATGATTTTAGCCAGAGAGGAGCTGAAAAGATGGTGTCCCATGAAGGGTGAGTGTAATAAAGTCTTCTTACACTGTTATGCCAAACAGCACTTAAGCCAGATTGCCCTGTGAATCTGGACAGAAGAGAGGATTACCCAAAATATAACCTGGTTAGCATCCAGCGCCGGGTTACAGAAAAAGTTCAGTGCAACAGTCAACTGTTGGCCAGATAACACCTAGGAAACCTGGCCAACACCAGCAGCCGCCAGGTACCCTACCTAGAAATTTAGACCAGTCAGCAAAAGAAAGGAATCAAAGAGATAAAAAAAATGTCCAACTTTTTGTCAGTAAGGTTCATAAAGGATGGAGAGTCTTCTGTAGGAATGGTCAGAGCTTCGTTAAGACAAAATACAGATGGGTTAGATTAGTCCATGTTGCCACAAAACCCTCCACAAAAGGGACAGAGCACCATGAACCATTTAGGAGCAAGGGACTGTTTGCGTGTTTCTACTCTTTGTAGGTAAAATCATTGAATAGGGGATGAGGAGGAAAAATCTTGGTGGAAAGTTTAGGTTATGAGAACTGAGCCCAGACAACATGGTAGAGAAAGAACAGTGGAATCCTCTAATTTTAAAGTGGAACACACAGCCTTGATCAGAAAATAAACAGTTTACTTCTGCTTTCATGAAACAGCTGCTGAATGAAATTCAGCTGGTTAGGTCTCCTTCTCGAACAATGAATCCTCTGGAGGATCGCCAACATAATCAGCTATATTAGGCACCTCCGAGTCAGATTCCATTGTGTAAGGTGCTGGTGGGAGTTTTAAGCCCTTGCAATGAGGAAGAGCAACAAATTGCACTTACCAAGCCATGCATAACAAAATGGGAACTCGAGGAAGAAAGGGGGGTTCAGAAATAGCCACAAGCACTGTATCTCAACTGAGATTTGTAACAAGTGCAAACGGTACAATCTTTCCCAGTGCCAAGCTCTAACTTGCAAACAGTGCAAATCAGGTCCCGAGTTGAAGATTCATCACATATACACACACACTAATGCCAGACATGTTGCCCATGACCAAAATTGGTGTGTACCTTTAGGAAAGGGAGCTACCCAAATCCCCAGGACCCAATACGCACTGCAGACAGTGTTTCAGGAACATCAGATTTTGTCTGCTGTTGAATCACTGTAGAGCAGAGCAGAAAAGGCTGTTGAGTTGTCTGGGAGGAAAAAAAGGCTGCAATGAGTCTCCTCATAGAAGAACCTTGGAAGGTAGTGGCCAGTGCACGCATGTGCAGTTCTTCTTTTAGCTGTGTTAGCAAGTCCTTGCCAAAAATGATTAAAAAAGCGGGGTGAAGTCCAAAATGACAGTCAGGCATAAACAGTGCTAGGCTGCAGAAAGGCAAGGATACACCTCCCATACAGTATACATGAAATGAGGGCCTCCACAATTGACCTACATTTTATGAGTATTCTCATTTTAAAAGGTGGAAGAAAAAATTGGTGAGACTTACAGGGTCTTGGTTTCTTCCTTTTCCCCTTCGTATATGCTTGGTTTTATGTACGTGCCACTGACTTTGATTCCAGCTCCCCACTCTCCACCAAAAACACCCTCGATACAGTCTCCATTGGACATTCGAAGCGCTCCCTAAAATAAACATGTATCAAATGTTCACAAAGTTTTTTTCAATAACATTCAGTGCACAACAACAAAACAGATCTGACCTTTCCAGTCAATGTCCAGTCATCTGAAAATTCTCCTTCATAAACAGTGTCATCTTCAGACAGCAGAACGCCACTTCCCTACAACCAAAGACAAACTTAAACTTACAACTTAAATTTCATCAAAGCAAACAATAATGAGAATAACCAAGGAGAATGCCGTTTTTCTTCTTAAAAGTGTAACCCCAGCCAAAATGTTTTGTTTTGCACACAATGGAGCAGGGTGATCCTGCTGGGAAGATTATGCGATATTTCCCAGAAACATGGCGGGAAATCCTACTATCACAAGAACAAATGCCCATGCTGGCACAAAGTTGTTTCAAGAAGGGCCTGTGTAATTAGATTTGTTTGTGTTAAAACTGCTTTCCTCTCTATACAAGTGAATTAAAATTGAAAAGTAGATCTCACATGCTAGCTAAATACACCAGAAAGCGCAATGCATTTGCCCATCAACACACGCACTTAGACATGCAAAAATATATGTTAGGTAGAATAAATATTTAGGGAAAAGTTAACAGATGGGCTAAAAGGACAAATGCTACCACTACTCACCTTCCCCAAGTTTCCATGCTTCCCCAAGTGTAATTGATGTTATATAGAACATCACTATGGCCTACCTAACTTTCATGGATTTTTCTGTTTTCATGGGTTTCCCCCAACAATCCACAAATCTATTCAGAAAAAAATGAATTAGCTTCATACTAAGTGTGTACTGCAGGATTAGGAGTCTGCTAATGCCTTCTGTTCTAGGGACTGATGTGAAGGGTTCTATGTTGTCTGTACAGAATGGTGGAATATGTAATCACTACATAAATGAGTTAACTACATATACACTGTTGGAAAATGACCTGCAATTGATTCATACTGGTTACTGTGTACCAATAACTTTACAAATATGTAGAACATGCACAAAAACTAAAACTCACCATCATTTTATTCAAACTAAATGCTCCTTCGTAGTACAATCCAAACTGTGTCACCACAAGTCCATTGCCCTGCCGGAGGTCATCTTGCCACATCCCCATGTATTTTTCTCCTCTAGAAGATAAACAAACATGAATAGTTGGAGTTACACAACAATGAAACAGTTCAGTGTGTTTTCTAAGGAACTATTTAAATAAAATACCAACAATAGTAAAACAAATACATCATTCAGCAATCCCTTTTGGCAGAACTTTCACAGAATGCAGAATTAAACGTAACCATGAAAGAAGGATCTTTCTACCAACTCAAAGTCAATGAATGTCCTGGAATAATGGAGTAAAAGGAAACTATAATGGCTTTCTGTCAGTTTTTGTTTGTTTATGTAAACACATTTGTAAACTGATGTTTCTAGAAATATATTACAAATATTTAATATAGAATGCACCCATAATATTGGTGTCACACAATATTAAGGGTCTTCAAAAGATTTTCAGGCTTTCTATTTCTAACTGAAAGTCTTCACATACAGTCTGAACACAGAGGGTAGGGAGGAGGAGAAGGAGGAAGGGGCACTCTCTGATTCATCAACTTTGTGAACAGTCTGTCTCAGAAACATAGTTAAAGTGACATTAAACCCTCAGATTTTTTTAACATAAAACAATACTGTAATGTGTGCCTTACTGTAATCCATGGTTGTTTCCCTTCTCTTTGCTGCTCTTCCTTTTAAATCTGTATCTGTTCTCATGCTCTGCAGAACTTCTGTTTTGCAGCAGACTGCCTTGTCTCAGGAATGGATACACGGTGTCTGTGTATACGTTTCTATAGGCTTGTAATCTGACCTAGCACTACAGGAAGAGGCCCTGAGCTGAAAAGGGAAGTTCTGCCCAGCATGAGAAGGCATGAGGATTTAAAAGGAAGAACAGCAAAGAGAAGGGAAACAACCATGGATTACAGTAAGGTACACATTACAGTATTGGTTTATGTTAAAAAATCTGAGGGTTTAATGTCACTTTAAGATTAGCCAGGTAACCATGTGAAAAAGAGCCTAGAGCGCCACCTGCTGTCTAGAAATAGATAGCGATGTTATATCCATAAGCATTATTTTATATTTACCTGACTTAAAAAAAACAAATATATAATACAAATAACTCCAGAGTGTAATGGTGTAGTATGCATTTACCCCATGTAAGAAAATCACTAGTAGGCCTACTGTTATTAATTTAGTGGACAATTTAGCATCTAACCTAAAAGGAAGTGGTTCAAGAGGGATTGTAATGTAATGTTTGCAGGAGAATTTTAATTATCTGCCAAGTATGTATTGAAGCTATTTAGACAATGTCTGAAGCTATTTAGACAATGTTATACACATGCGTTTCTTCTTTTATTCGCACTATTTACACATTGCATCACATTATTTCACGGCCAGTATCTACTATATCTGACACTTTTGTAGATTCATTCACACAGCGCAGCTTTTATTATTAATTGTATACTATATTTCTGACCACACAGATTTCAGCTGCTGCTTAACTGGATTGGAGTAGTGGCGCGAGGTTTCACATTATTCATTTCAGCTAAGCTGCTTACAGAGCTACACTCAGAAACAAAATCCTATCTTTTCTCTGAAGCTGGGAAGCAAGCTTTCTGTGACCTAAGTTTAATAACTGGGTCCTACTACTAAAGGTAAGCAGGGTGTGTTAGAAGGGGGCAACACCACAGGCACAGAAAATTGATGTGTGGATCACTGATAAAATCATCACACTTCACCTGGATTTTTGGATCACGTTTATAAAGAAAAGACCTTGATTTGGCTTTTCTTAAGGACACATTTCTGTTTTGTTGAAATTATTATTAAACACATGTTTAATTAGGACACTATAGGGTTAGATAGGACACTAGGGATTGATTGTTTTGGTTTTGCAGTACATACCTTGTGATGTCATCAAAGACTCCATAGCCTGTCTTCTTATCCATCACCCATTGACCAATAAACATGCTGGGTGAAGAGGAGGTCAGTTTGCCACTACGAAGAAGTCCATGACCATGGCGGCTGTTATCCTGAAAACAGCCTTCATATACTTCTCCATTAGCATACCTGGGTAGGTAATATTTAAATGAATTATTGTGAAGTAAAATACACAACAGCAGAAATAAAATTAAACAAACCTGCATTGAGTCATTCTTATATTGAGTCATAATAAATGTGAAATAATACTTAAATTATCATACCAGAATGTTCCTTGACCACACATTTTTCCATCTTTCCAGTGGCCAAGATAGCAGTCTTCCTTTTTTAAGGATTTCTTGGGAATATTGTACTTTCCAAGTCTGTAAAATGAAAAAGTCTGAAAACGAATACTATGATATGGTGATAATGATATGGATTAAAAAAAAACCTTACCCATCCTCCAAACCGTTCCGAAATTCACCGTCGTATACCCTTCCATCAGGCCACTTCAATTCTCCTCTACAAGTAAAGTTAAATCAAATTTATCTATTAACAATCAACATTTTCACAGCTCAATGAATACATACAAGAGAAGCTTTATAAAACAAAATCAGTCCTAAAACACACCCCCAGCTTCTTCTACAGCAGAAGCTCATTCAGTTTACAAACGGAAAAAAAGTAATTCCTTATCTTACTGTGTGGAATTCCAGGTTCACAATTATTGCAAAACACCCTTTCTTCTTCCATACCTGCCATGAGGTTTTCCAGTTAGCCAACGGCCATCATATGTGGCATCTTTTAATCGTGGATCCTTGTAAAAAGTGTACTTGGCGCTACGTGATAAAGGGGGATCCTGCCTCGCGGTGCTTCCACTTGTAGGAGGTGAAGGCTCATATACTCCTCTCAGAGCCTGATCCACTGCCTGGCTAATTGCTCGAAGCCACTTAGTCTGAGAAGTTAAACAAGTAGAAAATTAACCAGTTTGCAGTTTACAGTACGAGGACTCTCTAAACCACTCTAATTTTACAGAAGCAACCCTCTCTGATTGAAAATGTTTCTTAACAGTCATTGAAATACAACATTTCTGCATGGCTACCCTTTTATCAGCATGTTATCAGCATGTCAATACTGACAGGCCTGAGGCATACAAAAATATCTGCAACCCTTACAACTTGAATTAGCTGTGTATTCATTTTTGGGCACTACATGTAGCTGTGCGTATAACTGGTATATGATCTTAAAAACTTTGTAACAGAGATGCACACACCAGTGCTCACACCTTACATGTGTTCTTCCTAGGTAGTGAAGAAAGTAATATACTGACAAATAATTCATGTTTATTGGGCTTGCCAGGGACCTCAATTAAATATTCAGAACTTGTGCAGGTGTCTTCGGTACAGTTGTACATAGTAGTACTACCCTGGATTTTAAAGGAAAGTTTTATTCAAAAGTGCATTAACATACAATGTAACACCCAGGCCTTGATATCTTTAAGGCCTGGTTCACACCTGAACGTTTTGTAGCGCGTTCAACGCTCGACGAACGCTCTACAAAACGCTCAAACATCTAAATCCGATTGTATTCAATGGGTCTGGTTCACACCTTGCCGTATTTCCGCCCGTCCAAGCGCGATACAAAAACGGCCTACGCCCAAAGAAGTACATGTACTTCTTTGGGGCGTTTTGGTCTCGCGTTTCCATTGGGATACAGCCAAGTAGCCCGCGGAAACGCGCGTTTTTCGCGCGTTTTTTAACCGCGAATCGCGGTAAAAACGCGCGACAAACGCGCATATTCAATACGCCTAGGTGTGAACCCAGCCTAAGGCTTCACTCACACCAGACACGGTGTGTTCCGGACCGTTTCTGGCCAGAACGCACTGCATCGCAATTGCGGCCGGTTCACTATGTTGTGGGGCAGGAGGGGGCGTGGCGGTCCATTGAAGTGAATGGCCTTCCGGCGACACGGGAACGCAATGCAGTGCGATTTGGCCAGAATCAGGCTGGAACGCACTGTGTGTGGGCTGAACGAGTCCTAACTGTTAGGACAGAGCTGTCTAGCTCAGTTCGCCCCAAATTCCAATCCTAAGGAACAAGTATGATTTTAAAAGGATTTTTTCAGCAAATAAAGAGGTAATCAGCATTTTTATTTAAAGTTCATGGGAACATGTAGAAAAAGTGGAAATACACCTTAAACACAGGGACAGCCATATTGGCTTATAATATATGCTACTTAGTGCCCTGCTGGTCCTACTAGCCTACTGAAATTCCATCAGATAGGATCTCAAAACATTAGACTCTGCAATCTCTATTGATTCAGTAAGCAGAGTATAATGATCAGTAGCCAAAAAGCATGAAATCTTTCAGGGCTGCAAGCTCAGGGGCAGCATTTTTCTTTTTAAGGCCTTAATTGCCTCCTATTGGGTTCAGCATCAATAAGAGGAATGTAACAGTTGTATATTACATAAGTATATAGCATGTCTTCCAAGCACAGCCTGCTCCTGCAAGCGCTGGCCTATCTCCAGATTCTAAATTCAACAAGGGATCCACCAGGTTCATGTGCTGATGTTAAAATGTGGACTGCCCTAACTATGGCCATACCCTGTCTGGAGCTCAGTGCATGTACTGGGCAGTCTGAAACTTTGCATTTATGGAAATAAGGCTGAACAAGACTGGAAATGCTGTGGGGGGCACATTTATGTTCCAATGGATGGGGTCTGATGACACATCCTTGCAGGAGTGTAAGTAATAAAGTGAGGGAATGCACATGGGAGGGTGGATGAAAGGGTGGATAGGGCAGCAGGGGACAGCTTGAAAGATGTCAACAGGACGTGTAAAAATGCATTTGTTGGATTCTGCGTGAACTACGTAGATCAAACTGGACAGTGGTGTGAATCTGATTTCTCATTTTCAGTGGTAGAATCAGAAACATTTCAAGTGTTCACCTTACACAGGGTAATAAAACATCATAAATTAACCCTTTCGCTGCCAAGCCCTCTGGAACATTTTTCAAATCAGCTGGCCAATCCATTTAGAAAAAATAACCAAAAAGGTTTATAAACCCTTTCAGGTATCTTAAAAGATTGTGATGCATACAGTGAACACAAACTAATCTCCCAATACGAATTTTCTCAGCCATTGCTGGTCATTTACAAGTCCCTTTTATTGGTAATATACTCATCATAGAACCCCTGCTCTTGATGCATAAGAACTTTAATGAAGTACTCTTACTGGAGGGCTGTCTCTCACATAAAGACTAACGTAAAACTAAACATTTCTTACAGCTACAATCAGGTATACAATGACCTTGGGCATTTGAATGTGGTTAGTGATGCAGAAAGCAGAGATAATGGACATTACCATGACAAGGTGCTCTCTGGGTTGCATTTGCAGGGGATTCCACAGATTAAGGTTCATTTCTTTTTGCACAGTGGGGGCGTTTGCTAAACAGCAATAGTAGATCACAATTGGTTTCCAGAGTTGCCTGGAATTGCCCTTGATGTGATTCAAGCCTTATGTGTTATTACAGTATTTCTAATCAGCTACAATATTTTCTTACCTTTTCCTGAGGTGACAGTGCAACCAAAGTTAACTGTTCCTCTGGTGTTATGATCTTTAATCCATTGCTGGAAAAAGGAAACAAAAACTTCTTACACACACCTATCCAATTCAGTTGCATTTAACCCCAAAGAGCGTAACGTAAATATCGGGAATGTCATACCATAAAAACTACAAGACACACACAAAAAGTATTGGGACACCCCTCCGATTCATTGGATTCAGGTGTTCCAATCACCTCCATGGCCACAGGTGTATAAAATCAAGCACCAAGGCATGCAGACGTTAAAGAGAGACTAAAGGTGCCCACACACCTTGCGATAATCATACGATAATCGCGAGAATTCCCGCGATCGTACGATTATCGCAAGGTGTGTGGAAGGCGTGCGACCGTTTCTACTGTACGGTCGCACAACTTTAGTCTTTCGAGAATGTCCGAAAACCAGCCGAGAATCGTACGATTTTCGGCTGGTTTGTAGCACGATTGTGAGATAACTGGCGCACGGGCCGATGTGCGCAATCTCACACTGCCCGTTCAGCATTGCGGTCATCGGAAGCCCGCCCCTCAGCGGGGCGGCTTGCGATTATCGCAAGTACGATCTACCTGTCCAAGATGGGCAGATCGTACGTTTTTTAAATTACCTTACAACCATCGCACAATGAAAGCCTTGCGATGGTTGTAAGGTGTGTGGCCAGCTTTAGGAATTCAGTAACTGTAGAGGTATACTGCCGCCTACAGGAGGATTGGACAAAGGTTAAAAAGAAATGTAGGCCAGCCCAGCCTAACCCCTACTCTACCCGGCATGCCTCAGTTGGTAGAATGAAAGGTTGATTTACTAAAGTTAAAAGAGAATGTGTAATGTTTAATGTTTTACTGCAAGTGAATGTTCTCTAGTTTAGTGAACATGATGAAGCTGTAAATTTGCAGGGGAAATCAAATTCTTGCTTACATTTGTTTGGAAGACAGAAATGAACACAGCATCACCCCAATCACTAAGCTAATTCTACTTTAAATTGCATAGTAAAAAATTATCTCTCTCTTTAGTAAATCAACTGTTTGGCCTCTTCACTTTCTTGTTTCATGTAACAAAATAGTTATAAACTTCCCACTTAAAGCTGAAATCCAGGCAGATATAAAAAAGACACAAATTAACACAGCTCTGTATTCATTAACACATCATTACATTTATTTCTTAATGCAAGCAGTGCAAGTATCTGAATTTGACCTGCTATTGGCCTCTTGCAATCCCTCTACAACATCATTCAGACTGGGGGAAGACCCATGAGCAAATCAGCTATGCTGCAGTGCAAGGAGAACGTTCATAGGAGGAGACAGCAGTGTGACAAAGAGAAAGGCTCACCAGTGCGCAGTTTCTCTTTACCATGTCCAGTCACAGACTGGGAGGGGAACAAGACCTGTAAGTGCTATTGAACTGCAGAAGAGGAAAATCAGTTACCATATCCTGCTAGACAGGGCTGTGTAAATATAAGGACTGGATAAACAAATACAAATCCTTTGGCATGTAATACTAGCTCTCATATATGTATTTAATCTGTTTGTTTAGGTGTTTGCCTGGATTTTAGCTTTAACTGAACAACATTGCTAAAAAGAGGTTTGGTTATAATGACCGCACAGAAGCAAAATTAATTTACATTTTTGTGTTACATTTGAATATTGGTTCTGCATATAGAGATGTACTTTATCAGAAAGCGATTTTCTCAGTAGGTCATCTTCAATTACTGAAACAGTGATTTGTTTGGGAAAAAACAGCTCCTTGCCAGAGCAGGGAATAAAACACTAAGTAGATACATGGAACGTGTTCAAATTCTAAACAATGCCACTTAAAAATCCTCCAGGGAGAGCTACATTCTATTTATCGCTCACACAAACCAAAGCAAGCATCCTGCACATTATGTTGCTATATAAAACAAATTGATTTTGTTCAGCTGTACCCACATGCCAGCCACTTCTTCAGACACTGGTTCAACCCAAAGTGTAGAAAGGGAGAAAATGTGATGTGTAGAGAACTGCAAAGAGAAGAGACAAAATGAGAAATAGAGTGAGAAGGCTCCAAAGTGAGTGGCAAAGGTCATTTATCACAAAAGGTACCATATACCCGTACATCCCCTTCCATTTTGTGAGGGAGGTGTTGCGTGCCCAGCATTCAGCCCCAGGTGTTGCATTTCAGTGATGGGCAGATGTATTAATGTGTACTGTGATTGTAGCTGTCAGTGGACACTGGCAGTGTCCTAATACCTAAACACATTCAAGACAGTGAATGCAGAGGACAAAATAATGCCAATGTTTTTTACGGGGGTTAACATCATAGTAAACACCTCCTCAGGAGTCAAATTCAGCCTGTAGCTGAGAAACAGTGAGTGAAACCCAGCATCCAGGGTACAAGGGGAGTAAGGATGAATCAGGTTGCCACATGCTTCTTAACTCAAATGCATTACAGCTACAATTTTCAGCAATTACATCAATGAATGTTATTAGCAAACCTGGACAGCTCCCAAGAGCTGGGAAGCATGCGTACCTAGTTACAGTGAGCGTCTAAGGGTGCCCATAGGTATAAGAAGTGAAAAAATATTATTTAAAGAAGAACTTAGGGCAAAACTTCTATCAACTTTTGCAGTGGGGCTACCCCTGCAGTGCAAGGGTTAACTGCTAGTTTTGTCTATGTGCTAAATAAAAAGTTATACTCACAGAACCGCTGAGCCATTTCCCCACTTCTCCAGTCCCTGAAGCCTCTCTTCTTCTACACTGCATGATTGGAATGTTTCTCAGCGTCCTCATGACTATACACTGTGTATAGAACTACAGGACCTTAGGCCGCTGCAGAGGAGGGGGAGAGAGGCTAAGAGCAAGCCAGCTCTGTTTCAGGTCAGTATAACTGTCTTTTGTTGGCAAAAATGAGCTGTTAACCCTTGCAGTTCTGGTGTAGTCCCACCGCAAGGGTTAATACAAGTTTTGCCTGCAGTTCTTGTTGAATACTATATAGTCTTCTATCCAGTGACTTCTTTTCTTCTATATTTATAAGCCAATTATTGTAAAAAGCTTCCTCAGAGCTCTATAACTCAAGCTGAAATGTACAAAAAAGAAAAACGAGTCGGTGGTTCTGCCCAAAGCTCCACAATTTCATCAAAGTAAAAAAAAAAAAAAAAGCAGACCCCCTACCTGTGCATGAACAAGGGCATCATTGAAAAGTATGAACCAGTTAACTGAGAACCTTCCTGCATTTTGCAAACATAACCCACGATTACTACTCTCACAGATCAGGCGCCGGTCAGGTTTCCTAAGAGAATCCTGCAGAAGACAAAATGGAAAATTCTTATAAAAGCCTGCAAACTCAAGTCAATACAATCAAAGAAAAAAACACTTGCAATTTATTTGTCAATTCCTGCAAAATGTGACAATTAAGTATACTGGTACAAGCATTTCCATTCCAAGCAATTCCTGGGTAGTGGGGAGAACCTGGAATCCAAGGCTGTACACTGGCCAAAGCAGTGCAAAGCTCACCAGCTCTCACAATCAAAGTCTTTTCCTGTACCACGTTGGAGTCAGGGTGGTGCGAGGGGTGGTCACTGGCAAATGTAGCATAGTACCAATCTAAGCAGAATTCATGGCCTAAAGCACATACATTTTTAAAATTGTTTATACAGTATATTGGTCCTGTAATGAGTGGTCTCAAACACCAATACAGAGCGACCAATGTCAACCAGCCAAGGTTCCCCTGACTGTATCTAAGAAACTATTGATCATTGTGACATTCACTGTGCACTATAGGTAATCTCTGCTTACGTTTTTCATGATAGATTTATTATGAAATGCTAAGGCTTATGACAGGTTTACATTAACGGTTAGTTAAAATTTGTGGTATCTCCATTACAGAAAGAGGCTATATACACACCGTCATCTTTCCTGGAAAGGTCTTCCAGAACCCCAATGTATACTCGGCTTCCTTTTTCTTCCGGTTCAGGGCAAGTGCTAATTTTTCATAGTTATTGCTGGAGTCCTGCAGCTTCTTGTATTCTGGTGAGGACTAAAACATACAACAGACGAATTTTAATGTTTAAAATCATGTTGTGTCCTAATGATAAGAACACATATTTTAAAGTAGGTTCAAGTAGGCATAATTTCTATTAAAAAAGTCTGCCGACTCAAAACGGAATATGTTTTTGTGGATGCTGGAAATAACAATAACCTTAAAATATCTATCTCATGCATTAGTTTCACAGGTATTAGCCTCAAAAGTCATGGAATTGGACCTAGCAGCAGATATATTTTTTGAGCAACGAGCTGCCTGCTCTGATCGGGTATTCCGACAGTTGCCACCGGCACCTGTCAGAATACAATGTAAACAGGGGCGATTCCTCGATCGACACAGTGTTTGTGTTGATGGAGGAGTTGCGTCAGTTTCTTCCGTTCAGCCCTAGGGTTGAATGAAAGAAATGACGGGTGTATGGCCATCTTTAGTGTAACCCTTCCAGGTATTTAACTTAGAGATGACACAGTCATTTAAACCCTGGTGCCTGTGCAGTTCTTGGTTTTATCCTCATTCTTCTCTTATTAGCCTGCAACAGCCTAATGATAGATCGTTACAGGGAAGTTACGTGACTGGAGGACAGCGTTATAGAAAATGTATACTGTTGCTCTAGATTGTGACATATCAAAAGCTAAAGTGTGAATAAATCCTCACGAAAAAAATTAATTCAGCAAAATGCCTCCTAAAGTTTTTGGTTTACTGTTCCCTTTTTTTTTTGTTCAGCCTGTCATTCCAGGAAAATGAGCCATCCAAACTTAGCTGTGCTTCATTTGCATTTTTAGTGTTGCTCCACTGGCTTGCAAGAGCTACCCTGATGTGCATGCTCTTGACCAGGAAGTGTGCTCACACTCACAGAAGACCTGTATGCTTAGGTTAAGTTCACCCAGGCAGCAGATTTTACCGCCCTCTGAAAAGCAATGCATGATGGATTGCTTTTCAGAAGGTGGTTGACAGCCAATTGACGGACTGTTTACAGCCTTTCAGGAGGCAAAACGGCCATCCCATGAACGCTTTTTTTTAAAATAATTCTTAATACTGCACCGCAAGTGGTTGGCACGTGATTGCGGTACAGACCCACTGACTGAAATGGTCACATCTGGCAAATAGCATCACCTGCCAAACGTGACAAAAAAAAAATGTAGCGGTCACTGCTTTAGGTTTTATGTGGTCAGTAGGTGGGGGTGGGATGCAGTAAAAATGTGGATCAGTCACCTGCTTTTGCTGCCCATGTGAATGATACCTAAGCCACTGCCCTGTTCCTCCTACAAGGGCGCTGATTGAAGCATCACAAAGAGGGAAACCATCAGGTGGGAAAAAATGTTGTATTCATTGCTAGTTACATGGAGCTTAACGCAAAGCGCAATATTATTCTGAGAGTTTAATACTACTTTACTCATGAAAACTTATATGACTACTGAGGGGTTCACTTGAAGAAGCACTGTATAGCTCATAACAGCTTATAGGGTTTTCCTAATCATCTAGCTTAGAAAATTAAAACAGAATATGATCTACTACAATAATGGTCAATATCTTTTTTTTGTAACATTTCTTTGTAATGATCATTGGTGGCTCTGTGTCATTACTATGGAATGATGTGTGGTAGAGGAAAAAGTCTTTCCCACAGCTGCGTAATAACATAGTAACATGCGGCAGTGGAAAACACCAGCGATCACCTCAAATTTCTTAAGCACCCCCATTTGGGGGTCATGACCTATTGTTCAAGTCACACTCCATCTGACCTATATTAAAGTTGTACTCTAGCTTTTACTTTTCTCCCACACACTTGTAGCAAGTTCTCGCCTTTATTGAAACTGCTTACTCTCAATTCCCTGTAAACTTGCATATCTACAATATGATCCTTTGAAGCTGCAGCAGCTATCTTGAGCCCACCTTCATTTCCTGTCTGAATGACCTCCACCATTCATCAATCAATTTTTGCCTCTGATACCTGCCCGTTGTTGGCCCCCTTCTCACAGCTATTAGCTTTCTCTGCGTCAATCATTTGGTTTCAGAGCTTTATGTGAAAGAACACATCCCAAACATCACTTTAGACTGCAACCAGTAAACGAATCAGTAGACTGCACAACTAAAGTCCGCAGCACCCAGTAGCCAGCAGCGATTGACATCAAATTGGGATTCGGGGATGTGTTCTTTCATAATCTCTTCATGAGGCTGCTGGCCCCTCCATCCAACTGAAGCAAATAGACCTAGTGATGACATCACTGGGTCCCAAAAAGAGGTCTCTATTGAAAAACAAAATAATTACACTGCACCCCTAATTCTAGCTCTTTATTTTCTAAAAGCTATATGTTTTCCCCTCTTTTCTACTGGCTAAATAAAACAAATAAAAAAATTGAAGACAAGCACTTACCACTTCAAAGCACATGGCCAGTTTGAGCAGCAATCTGGCATACTCATGCAGACGGGTAATTGGTGAAAAGAAGAGGCTATTAAGCGTCTCAAGAACTGTACTGTCTTCCTCCTTTATATCGCTGAGATTCTGTAGAAGCTCTTGGTTTTTACTGAAGAAATCCCTGAAATGATACCTGAATCAAACTCTACATACTCTGAAAAAGGTTATTACTACATGAAATAAAACGTTGTTTTTTTTTAAAATTTTACAGCACATTTACAGTAATTTGAGTGCAAGTAAAATGGCATTGATATAGCTTATTTTACTTATAACTGTTTGTTTGCAAAATACTATACAAAAAGAATGTAATTTTTTCCCATGTACACCTAATTACACAAAATAAATACATATATGGGAGTGGTTTTACCTTCTCCCCTTCTGTGACTGGACAGTGAAGGAGCAGGAACTAACTGATGAGATTAGCTCTCTGTGCTCTCTTCCTGTTGGCCTGTTTCTTGTCAGAACATGAGAACGTAGCACATCCGATTGTCCCACTCTCAGCCAGTGCTGCTGTACAGGAATAAAAGAGACTACCATGGAGCCGACTGGCAGCTACTCCGGTCCCTGAAGCCTTTCTCTTCTGCTGCTGCGATGGTATGTACACTGTATAGAAGATGACTCCAGGAACCTTAGATCGCTGGCTGCAGTGGAGGGGGCAAGAGGCTCCAGGGACTGGTCTAAGAGCAAGCTGACTTGGAGGATCGGGTAAATATAACTTTTTTTTTGCACCTAGACACAAACACTTGCAGGGGTAGCCCCACTGCAAGGGCTAAGAACAATTTTGCCCGGAGTTCTACTTTAAAGATTTTCTCATAAATAAAAACTTAATTCATTGCCATCCTTTGTATCTGCCTTGAGTTTAACTTTACCTTCTTGTTTACTGGCAGCTCTTTTACACGTCAGCAGAATTGCTTTTTGGGGTACACCATCTTCACTTCTGGCTTTAGAACCCAACTTCAGCCAAAACATTTTTTTCTGCTACGCCAGTACAAGCAAAATGAGGAACTCCCCAGGGGTCATGAGGAAAGGGAGGTAGAGACAGCTATAAAGACTTGACAGAAATTCTAACTCTTCCCCATTTTATTAAGCCAAAAGTGAGTTTAATCAGCACTTCCAGTTTATTTACCTCCCTGTCAGAGGAAGTGAGAGGAAATCTCTAAGTGGTAAAAAAGACATCAATAAAAACTTGACAGAAAACAATTGGTTGGAGCTTAGTTTTTTTGCAAGACAGCAGATTAGAGCTGCACAGATGGCTCCAATGTGGGTTTAAGCTTGCAATTTCCATCTAAACTTTGGCATGAAAACCTGAAAAAACATTTCACTTTACAAACTGCTATTATGAAACCTCCCTCTGTGTTATTTTTTTCCTTTGAAACAGCTACATGATGCCCTTTATAAGACTTGGCCATACACAAGGAAATCTTCTAGTCTTCTGAACCACTTTCAACCAGGATACCTTTTCAACAGGAAAAAAAAACAAAAAACAAAGAGACCAAGGCAACCTATCACCATCTCTGCTATACAAGTGTCTTGGTGGTAGGTTGTCTTAATCTGATTATTCATTTTGTAAATGAAAGCCAGCTGAGATTGCTAGAAGATTGTCCCGTCTATGGATAGCATTAATATTGTTGCACCAGTAAAAACAGATGACCAGTCACAGAAAAATAATGAGGAGTTTGTCAAGTGCGGCATCTGATCTATTGTCAAGTGACACCACAAATCCTTTTCCAAATATATCAAACAACAAAAGAACAGTACAGGCATTTTAGATTGACATGCTGGCTCCATGAGAGCCAACTCTCATGGGTTTTAGCTTCTAGGAATTTTCCTGGGTGCAAAGGTGCCCCCATTTTATTCATTGTAAAATAAACAATACATTTGGTGAATGGTCTTCCATCCAATGGGAAGCTGAAATGCACATTTTTGTTTTCTTAAAGTGGAATTACACCCTCCTATCCCTTACAGCAAAGGGGGTGGCATCATAGCCTCTATTTGGATTGCAGTTGCCATGGTGCTGCACATGTGATCAGCTATGACACCAGCCATTTGAGGGCTTGAAAGTTTGGCTGAGAGCTAAAAAAAAAAAAGAACGCTGACCCTAGACAGTTATTATCAGAGACATGCCTTGAAAGCAACTGTTTTGGCAGACCGGTAAATTGATGGGACTAGTTGCTCTTGAAGACATTACTAAAACCTTAAGTTTGATGACATTAATGCATATAACAAGATGCCAGAATAAACTTTAAAATCCATTCAGTAAAATTCCTGTATAAAATACTAAACAACTTACATGGCTGGTTTAGACAAAAGTGAAAAACCTCCCATGACCAAGAAGTTACAAAGAGAAGAGCTATACCTGTAAAACATGTAAAGCAAAATATTCTCAAAATCTAAACCATTGCATTAGGTTTACTATAATCAAATAACAAAGCAAAGCTATATATATGGAGCAGAAAGACGGCATTTAACAGAACACGTCATCTCTATAGTACCAAAAACAAAAAAAATACAGAATTTGGTGTTGGTCAATACAAGGGGAACGCTTAGCAGACTTAGCCTGGCCATACACCTATAGATTATCGGTAGATTTTCTATGGTCAGATGGAGGAATTTGTTGCACTTTTTCCATTTATGCTAAACTGTGTGGATGGAGGAATCTCCCACTAGGCCAAGCTTCAGTATCTTGCTAGTCGGCCCCGCTGGCTCTCAAAATACCTGAACAGTGCCTGCATCCAATCAGATTGTTCAGGTATTTTGAGAGCCAGCGGGGCCGACTAGCAAGATACTAAAGCTTGGCCCAGGTAGGAGATTCCTCCATCCACACAGTTTAGCGTAGATGGAGGAATCTGTTGCACTTTTTCCATCTGACCATAGAAAATCTGCGGATAATCTATAGGTGTATGGCCAGCTTTAGGCTGCCCAGTCTACTAAACACACACTATAGGAGATACCTGTTCCATTACTGAGAGTGTCAAATATGTAAGCAATAGAATTCCTAGCTGACATTGACGGTTGTGTTTTTTAGAAAAATAAGTACTTTCTTCCTGAAAAAAAAGGCTACTTTGAAACAAACAAGTCACACTACTTGCTTATTTGCATACGTATCTGTAAAGAGAAAGTCAAGGGGAATTTCCAGTGACAACACAATTGGCATTATTACTGCCGTTTAACTGAATTTTTCAATCTGATGTCCACATATTCACATACTTGCTGGTCATATTTTCATGACTGTATCTCAAATAGATTTTGGTATCTGTATATCTGACGACATCTCTGCAGCAGAATGGCAGATTCCAATATACACCACAAACTGAGTAAACTATTTTCAGTCAGTCTGAGCAGATTGAGTCTAAAGCTGGCTTAGCTTGCAGGTTTTGTGCTTAGCTTGCAGGCCAAATTATAAATCTAATAGAGTCCCCAGTCCAAAATAACAGTACTGCACTTACTGTTCGGCAAACAATTTTCAGGTCAAGACTGTCGGACGGGAGACTGCCATTAGAGCCACACATGGGTCCAATTTCTTCCGGTTCATAAAGAACAGACTGAAATTCGCTCTGTGTATGGCCAGCTTTACACTAAGGCCTGGTTCACACCTGAGCATTTTTACGCGGATCTGCTTTAGAGCATGACTAAGCAGCAAGCATGGCTTGCATAAAAAATTAAATATGGTTTCACCCATGTGCATAAATATATATATACAAAAACTATACACAGAAACATATCTTATTTATTTATATATATTTTTTTAGGGTAACACGCAGATAAGGTTGGTTATTAGTATGGTGGTCACATTAATAAATATACTAAATATGTGCAAAAAAGGATAGATTCTCTTTATACCAAAGCAATGATGACATAAGTGCACTATAAAATTATTCTGGTGGTATTAGAATATAGAGGTATATTAATACACACAGTGGGTATTGTCTTTAAGGGGAGGGAGAAACTGAAGTTCACGAGTTGTCAGTAAGGAAGCCGTAGAACCAATTAGATACCAACACATCCTGTCTGATCATCAGAAAAGCATCACAGACTAAATGGTAGCAGCAGAGAGCACAAGGCAAAGCCACTGCTGCAGCCACTTATGTGAATTGTGTGATGCATGCTTTAACATTTCAAACCCCAGCCAACATTAATTTCAGCAGTGGGTGGAATTTCTGTAATCATTCAAGAGATTTCAGGATTTAGAAATAAAACATACTGACTCTGTATAACTATCCAAGAAGATATTTGAGTGCTCCAAGACTGAAAGGTTACTTGCATCCTTTGCTCCTCTTAAGAAGTTGCTTAAGGAGGTTCCATGCTGGCCAATCAAGTAGCAGAGTTTGCTGAACTTTGTTGCCATGTCCTGCAGAAGCTGAACAGCTGTTAAAGTACCCAGGTTATCTTTACCAGAAGAAAAGCAAAATAAAACACTTGTTACTTAAAAAAAATAAAATAGAAAATATAAAAAATACATACAGTAAATAAACATTTTCTTTGCGTACACAGCATAATAATTTTAATTTGCTAACTGCTAACTGTAAGAGAACTAAACTAGCACTGTTAATTTTATATTTTTCAGTGCTGACATTCTGAGAGAGATACGTATATCTGAAAAAAATGGCTGACATATTAGCTGGTTACATTTTTGTAACATGTCTGCTTAAAGGGTACAATTACTAGATTTATTTATTAGACTATAACTGCTTAACGAGTAAGACATCAGACACACAGAGAATGTATTGTTTTCATTGAGTCAGCCAACTTTAGATTTTAAAAGTGAAATCCAGTAAACAGTTAAACACATAGATGAAATACATATAGGGAGCTGTTTTACCTGACAAATTATTTGTATTTCTGCCCATCCAGTTCTCAGATTTGTGCTGTAATAGCACAGCCTTGTCTAGCAAGGCAGGACCTCTGATTTGTTTTTCTCTGCTGTAGTAAAATAATACTTACAGGTCTCACCCCTCTGCCAACCTGTGTTGGACAATGAAAGGAGAAGCAGCAAATGGATAAACTCATCTATTTGCCACTCCATTCACTCTTCCTATTAGCACACTCCTTGTTAGTAGTGATGGGCTTCGGCGTGTTCGCAAGCGCCTCGTGCCGAGCCCGCCAGGAAGACGTCAGCGCGCAGGGCCAATCACAGGCACTGAGACATGTTTCCAGTCCGCAGCTGCAGAGATCGGGAAATGTCTCAGTGCCTGTGATTGGCCCTGCGCGCTGACAGCTTCCCGGCGGGCTCGGCACGAGGCACTTGCGAACACGCCCGAGCCCATCACTACTTTTTAGCACATGAGCACTTTAGCACAACTCACTGCTTCTGCTGCTTCCCCCTCATTCAGTCTAAGCTTTGCTGTGCAAAGAACTGTAAATCAGATTTGGACTTGCTGCTGTAAGTGCTTGCATTATATCTGCCAGGAGTTCAGCTTTACAACATATAGCATTGAGGTTAAGGTTGCATTTACAACAAAATCATTATATGGCAACCAAATGGTGACTAGTTGTTTGTGAAATATCCATTACAACAGCAAGAATCATGATTGTGTGCTTTGGAAATTGTAGGCATTTTATCTAAGAGTTGACAAAACAGTGTAAATGTAGGCATGCTTGCAATATAGGCAAGATCTTTCATCAAATATGATGCTACAATAACTTGGCCAACCAGATTTCAGCTTTTCAGTGTCCCCTAGAGCCACATTAATAAAAGAGGATTTCTGACTGGTTGCCAAAGGTTAGTGCATGGCTTCTTGCTTTGATGCTACATGTGACAAAAACACTTACCCAGTCCTAAAAGAGTTCTAAGAATTTGTGACTTGACATCACTTAGCCGGCAATAAAAACTCCTCTCAGTTGCGGCAAGCTCGTGGAGGTTTCCAATATAGCCCATCATATTTTGGTCTACAAGTGCCAAGCCACTATTTGCTCCAATGTAAACATTGCAGATGTATCCCAGCTTAAGAGACATAAAAGAGAGTAATCTATATTATAACAGATTAAAATTATGTATTTATAATAAAAATCTAAAACAACCAAACCCACACAAAAATTACTGGGTTAAGAAACAGCAGCTACTGCTATCTTCACGGAAAAAGCTAGCCAATTCAAAACTAAACAGGTTAGGTTATTCACATGACAGGTAAGCATTAGAATTTAAACATGATCATATCACAAAGTGAATTACATTTTGTGCTTGGCCTCATCCCCCTATGAGTAGCCAACATTAAAGCAGTGTTCTCAATCTTTTTGCAGTCACCGCACCCTTTAAAAGTATGTAAAATCTCAAGGCACCCCAGTCTAAAATGTAAACATGCAAAAAAAAATTAGGTGTGGCTCCTTTAAAATCAATATCAGACCTTTATCTGAGATAGGGGCCTGGTATAGGTTTTAAGGGGGGACCCCATGCAAAAAACACAAGAAAGTGGGATTGCCCTTCACATCAGAGTCCCCTCATTTCACATTAGACTGCTCCTTTACAACACAGACCCTCCTCTTTCAAATCAGGGGCCCTTATTTATATCAGAAGCCTCCCCCCTTTACATCAGTAACCCACCCTCCTTTTTTTACATCAGGACCCCCCCTCCTTTCACATCAGATTCCCCCCTTAATATCCAAACACCCCTTTCATCAGGAGCCCCTCTTAACATCAGAAGTCCCCCATTACATCAGGAGCCACCTTCACACCTTTCATAGCAGGGTCCCACCTTTTTCACACCCAGATCCTTCACATAAGTGACCCCCTTTAACATCAGAGTTCCCCCTTCACATCAGACTCCTTAGTCTCCCTTCACATCAAAGTTCTGAGTCCTAGGGTGCCATGATAGCCTGGTTGAGAAAGGTTACATTAAAGGACCAAAAGGGAAGCTTGATAGAAGGGAGGAGGCAGGACCAAGCCATTACATATTTGATATTTGCCTATAATTTCAGCTGCCCATATTTTTTCTTTTAGTATTAACTAATTTTAACTGAAAGGTTTAACAAAGAAAACAAACACACAACTACAAAAACTGTATTTGTCTGCCACATCCCAAACCAAGGGAGCAGAGGTACAGTATAAAATAGGCAATTACAGCAATACAAACACTTAAAGTGATATTAAAAAGGAGAACTTTGAGGTGAGTGCTTTTGACTCACCTCATAGTTCTAGCCGACCTGTGACAATGAGACTGTCACAGGTCGGCTCAGTAGATCGGGAGGTGAGCGAACACATACCGGGTTCGCTCGCCTCTTGATCCTGTCACGGCTCTCTGCCGTGACAGGGGGAGGGCTGGATTCCCCTCTCCCCGCTCCGATCTGCCAGCGCTGACTGGCGGAACGGACGGGGAGGGTACAGCTGGCTCTGCCTCTAGATATAGGCAGAGCCAGCTGTCACTCACGCAGCTGGGCGGATCCCGTCATCTAAGTCGGGATCCGTTCCGGCTGCGGCGTTTCAGTATACCGCGAGCTGTAGCTCGCGGTATACTGAGCTTAGGGTAACGGGAGGACGCTAGTTTGTGTCCTCCCTTTACCCTAAGGAGAACTATGGGGAAAAACACTGACCCCATAGTTCTCCTTTAAAGTCAAAATCATTTTAAGCTATTTCAAATACTGATAAAATCACCTGAAATGGATGATGCTTAAACGTTTTAGTTTCCTGCAGAATCAGCTGATCTCCCTGCGCACTGGTCCCGATATCTTGTTTTAGGGTGCCTCCTTTCTCAAGCAGAGTGCTATGCAGTCACCCTTGTGTGTCTCCACAAACACAACAAATCAAGCTACTTCCCTCCCCCTGCCCCCCTCTCCTTCCTTCTCCAAGCTAGTAGATAAACAGTTGCTGGGGTCTGCACTGTCCTTTGTGATCTTGTACTGGACAGGAAGTCCAGGGAAGCTGAGCTGAAAGACGTTGAAGCAGCTGTTCAGAAACATAATGATTGTAATTGTTTGGGCAAAAATGTAAAGCAATGATTTGCTGGGCAATGTAGATTTGTTTGATCTGGATTCATTATTGAAAAAAAGTTTGAGAATATTATACTACTTTAAGCACCACGATATACAATTATGGCACACCATACTATAACAGATACATACACATCAGTACCAAATCCAAAAAAGAAAGAAAAAAAGATGACATAGGACAAACAGGATCCAGCAAAAGAAGACAAAAAGCTCAGGGAACATAACAGCTCTAGCTGCCCATATTTATGCAGATGATATGAGATTTTCACCAAAACCTAATTTTGCTTATGCTGTAAAGTGCACATCATGCAAAATTAGAGATGTTTTCAGCCAACCTGTGAACTTGTTGTAGAGAGAACAAGTTCAGTCTAACTAAATATTTGCTCACCGTGCTACAACTGGGTAGTTGAACTGGTGTCTGGCTTGTTTCTGGTCCACTTGCCTCTTCTGCTGATTGAAGTCCACTGCAATATACAACAGGCTGGAACTCATTTTTTCCATGTGCCAGTAAGAGTGAATGATCCTGCCCAGCGGCTATAGTCCACACTCCGCCATCTTCACACACCTACAGAAGAAGGAAAGCCCATTCCAAGCAATTGGCATCATCACAGATTGTAAAAAAAAAAGTCACATGCACAAATACATAGTGAGGAATTAGGCCCCATTCACACCGAGCAATTTATTGCGTGATTTTTGCAGCGATATCGCTCATATTTCCACGCGATATCGCTCTATGTAGCTTCTCCAATCCATTTCAATGGAGCTGTTCACATCTCGCCGCTTAATATCGTTCAATATCGCTTGTAGCCCGTCGCTGTAGCTTGTCGCTCCTACATGACCCTTTTTTTCGAGCGATTTTGCTCCTGATTGCATACAGCTCAATAGGAAAAAGTATTTTGCACATATAAAATCGTGCGGAAAATCGCACGATTTTCATGTCGCTCAGTGTGAATGGGGCCTTACAGCCTACAGGCTGACTGTGTCATTTTACACAGGAGCAGCTGCATTTGATGGCATTGGCGGCTGGGGGGGTAGTATGGGGGTTGCAGTGGCAGGGGGAGAGGAGCTCTGGATGCAAGACACGAGTGCTATAAACTTGTTAAATGTTTTTAGGCTATAGCTCTTACATTTGAAATCCTAAAGTGGTTGAGGAAGAACTACTTGCATTGTTTGCAGACAAATTGTACACATAACATAAGCCCAATATAATGTCGGAAAAACTGGCCCTACGCATGAGATAATTTTCCAACAATCTGTCAATTTGCAGCTGCTTTTGGCTGACAACTATTATCCATTGTTTTCTGGGGTACAAAGGTTCAGAATGGTTACCAAATCTTGTCAAACAGCTATGGTTCACCTGTAGCTAAGCGATGCTGGAAGCTTTCTCCTCTTACTGTCCTGTTTCATCGTAACTGTAAAAAATAGTGGAGTCCATTGAAGGACTCAGAAAAAAGTCTTAACCTCCTGGTTATGCTGCCGCCTACAGAAGGATTGGACACTGGCAGATGAGACATTGTCCAACAAAGGCCATGCAGATGAAATGCTTTATGCACAAGGGTTATCCAGTCTAGCACTTTTTAGGGTTGGAGACTGAAGTTCCACATAGCTCTTTTCAAGCAGGAACAGCGACAAGATGCTTCTTCGATGCTCTATAGTGGAACACGCGTGCGTGACACTCCATCCAGTGAATGAAGTCAGCCCTCAGTCCCAGAGTATTAACCCCTTCTGTTGCAAAACCTACAGGTAACAGGGAATGATGGTGCCCAGCTCCTAGTGTTCGGCCAAAATGGCCTACTCACTAAATGAGTCTTTAGAGACAGGGCAAAAGCATTGCCACCGTCTCTGGATTTGGTAAGTGCTCTACAATTACCTTTTACCAGAGTGGAGTCTGGAAAGCACCCGAAGGTCCCTTCCAAGCTATCCCCTCAATGTCCTGTCCAGCAGGGTCCCCGTGCTCCAAAAGCCTGAATGAGGACAACCATGCTGGATAGTTGCAATCAGTGAGACAACCACTTGTTGTTACACCTTTATTTGCACACTGGTTTTACATGTTCTAGTTGCCTCAATAACCTCCCTAGTGGGGTCCCCATCCCACCATGGGCCCCATAGCAGCTGTCTGGGATGCTACGATTATAGCTACGCCACTGACATCCATCCTCTTGGACACCAGCTAATAAATGAGGCATACTGGTAGTAGGAGGGGTTATCCTGGGCTGGTGAATCTGTGAATCTAGTGAATCTGTTTAGTCTCTTTTATTGCTCCTCTTTAACAATGCTACACTGTGTAACATAATCGATAGATGATCCTCATCAGGTTATCAGCACTTTACACAGTAAGTAAATACAGAGACGGCGATGTCCTTTACCTTGGCGAGCCGTGGCATAGTTGTTGGTGTCTGTGTATGACCCAGCTGTCCTGAAGCATTGCTTCCCCAAGAATAAACCTGCAAAGAGCAAACAGAATAACTAGCCATACCCAAAGTTGCCTTTATTTAAAGGCAAATAAAATAAGATTAGCACTCTTGTTTTGCAACACCCGGGACCCAGGTACAATTTCCAAGAAGAACACTATATAAAAGGGGGTTGGTGTGGTTTAAGTATAGGCTTTTACCGAGTACTTTAGTTTGTTTCCGCAAGCCAATCAGAACTGGTCCCAGAGTGTGCGTATTCTTGGCTGTGGTAAAGCTAAAGAATATGCGTTTAAAAAACTTTCTGGCATTCTTCAAAGTATTTGCAATCATAATACAGGAACAACAGTCTGTTCTTATCAGTTCACAAGTCTTTACATCAGATATGTCTGAAATTTCCTTTAAAAAGGTCTTCTCAGTGTCAAACACTTTCAGAATAAGAATCAGTTCAGTAAAGATCCCCACAAAAATTCAGTGTCTAATGCCTGCAATTTTAGCAGATTTGTATGATGGCTGTTCTGCCTATGAAGCACTTATAACTGCAAAAAGGACCCCAGATTCCTTCCTCCCGTACATCTACAACATTTAAACTTTCCAATGCATGATGCTTTAGGGCCCTCTCCTTGTTTAAGCCATGGCAATCAAAGGGAGGGTAGTGTATGTTGGTTGATTTTGGACCTTTGGGGCAGGCAAGTTGTGGGACAGACCATCAGTGTAGCTCTGAAATTGTGGTAGATACAGGCAGCTACTTGAGTAATTCAATCGATATATCAAATAGGGTGGAAATGGCAACCCATACAATGAAAGGACACTTTGCACTAAGACTTGCTACATATTTACCAAAAGAGGAAACTAGAAGGGGATTTGGGCATTGTAGCTATTCTAGATAGGTGGATTACTCTTAAACAAACCTAAAGTAAGAGACTCATTTTCAAATGTGCCTTGGGATATGTAGTAGCACTGATTTAGTAACACTCTTCACATTTAAATCTGTGTCTCATTCGTTTCTCCTTGAGTGTGTTTGGGGTCCTGCATAGCATTGTACTCTAGTTTCTTTGTCACCCCTTTCCTCCTCCCCCCCCCTTTTTTTCCTTTTTTGTATTGTTCTATATTCTTACAGATATGCGTATCTGAAATGTCCTTTTTTTTGTAACGTTGGAAAAAAATCTGTGTCTGAAGTTCAGATTTTAACGTACACCAACTACAGTACAAGGTGCAATGGATATAAATAATTCAAAGATGTGAAGTTTTTACTCACTATAGACATAAATATCTCATACAAATATAGAATATTACCTGCGACCTTGCTGTAAGGGCAATTGAATGGTGGCTTCCGGCTGCCAGCTGCACCACCTCCTTGCCATCCATGCTGCGGACACACAATGGCTGTAGTCTGTATAAAGAAAACAGTAAGTCAATTACACTGTGGTTAATTAAAACCTCTGATAATTATTTAATAATGAGAATCCAACACATAGAAGAAATACATTTTTCCATCTCGTTAAAAATAAACAGCATGGTCATTTTTCTTAACTAGACAGTGGTACATGCATTAATAATGCATAGTCGTGGTTTTACTTTCGGACATTATTGTTACTATGAATATACACAAAGGCTGCTTTCAAACTCAGAGCAATGCTGTAGGGAGCTTATTAAAAAAAATGCAAGATTATTAAACTGCATCAAATTAACATAAACATTCAGTAGATAGCAAAACTGAAAAGAGAAATTGTGTTTTAATGTGTTTACGTCTATTAAAAATTGCACTTAAAAGTGAACTTAAAACTAAAAAAAAAAAAAAAAAGGAAAAAAAGAAATCAGGTCTTGTGAGGGGTCTCTTCTTCTCCACATGCTTTAGCTGAGCAGGTCTAAATTTGGAATGAGAAACATCTCTCTGCTACCATGAACAATAGCAGAATTCCTGTCACAATGATGCAATGGTGGGACAAGATTTGCCACAATGTGAACGTGGCACGAGAGAAATTCAGTGCTGCCACTGATGACTTCTTTATAAAAATACTGGTTACTTGCCTGTCTCTGACATCAGCATTTTTCAGTCACTGAAGACATGCATACAGTCTCCAGACTCCTGTTAGGTGTGTCTGTTCAGTGTTAATGTACAGAGTATTAGCATGAAAGACAAGGATCTATCTTTTTAAATGGAAAATTGCAATGGATGCCCCAATATTTATTTAATTAAAGCATCCAATGACCCCAAACTGTCAAATATATAGTCACATTTTACCTTGGCAAGACATCGCCATGTCCCAGCTGACCCTCTTTGCCTCTTCCCCAACTCCAAACTTCAGTCCTTAGACAGGGCAGTAATACATCAGCCTCCCCGCTATTAGTGGGAGTCAGTGCAACTGTTCTCATCCGTGCTCTCCCGGCCTTTCTAAGGAGCCTAGGGGATACTAAAAACAAATGCTGAATCAGATTAAAATATGTCATTGAAATGAACACACAATTGTTCTGCTACCGAACAATAATTTATCCAAAATGACTTCTTAATATTGTATGTAAAGTCTAAGAACGTTAACACATTACAATATAAGGATTACCTTGGGAAAGCAGCCCAGGCAGGGAAAGCCTCCTGTTTCCAGCTTCAGCTTCCTCTTCTCGTATATCCACCAAACTGGAGCTCTTCTTGCCTTGCATGGACTCCAGTTTCACTTGTTCTTCTCTGCTGTCCTTCAACCCTTCCTGTGTAGTGGAAATGACAGTAGACCGAGCCTCAGCATCCCCTAGAGTTCCAGAATAAAAGTTCATCACCTTCTTGAGTGACAAAGCCCCAGCTTCACATGTGGCTACCACTCGGAAGCCCACCGCTGATGCACAGGACACTACTAGGCTGTTGAGGGCTGATGATGTAGTAGTAGCAGGATTGAGAAAGGAGTCACTTAATTCTTGCGGCGTACCCTCCTGGGTTTAGATCAAGAGAAAGAATATGATGAATTCATAAAACACAGAAAATCGCACACATTTCTTTAAACCGCTATCCAGGGCTATGGTAGACATTAGAGATGCACTGCTACCGATACTAGTATCAGTATCTGTGCCAATACAGTATATTTGAGCTCTCTCAAATGCTCTTGATACTGGAACTTCTGGTATTGGGAAGCCTGGAGGCGAGTCATTACACGTCGCCCCGGCCTCCTGATTGGCCGGGAAGCCGACTCCATGCTCCCTCGTCACCAGGGAGCATGAAGCTGGCTTTCCGGCCAATCAGGATGCCGGGGAGCGAGTGATTACCCTCCCCCCAGCTTCCTGAATGGCTAGAAAGCCGGCCCCATGCTTCCTTGTCACCTGGTGACGAGGGAGCATGAAGCCAGTTTCCCCGCTAATCAGGAAGCTGGGGGCAGCGAGTCATTACACGCTGCTCGGGTTCCTCAATGGGGCTTCCGGTATCGGTATTCGGTATCGGCGAGTACCAAAAAATAAATATATTGGAACTCGTACTCGATACCGAAAAAACAATATTGGTGCATCCCTGTGGGAAACTTTAGACAACCGAGTAAGATTCTGCTGATTCATTTTAGTGCTTGTATCGAAAGGCATTGTTTTCCTACGATTGACGTGCATTTGAAATACTCATCAAATGCAAGCCAGCAAAATCCATTGGAGCAGGTCACATGTAGTTCAGAGGTTGCATCCAACCTGCTTTGCATTACCCATTCACATTAGCCCATCCGTGTTTCAGCGGACAGGCTAGTGTGTTGTGACAGCTTTGGTGGTGTGCGTTGTATCACATACTACATTCAGGTCCACTACACTGCCGTCTGGAGACCTGCAGAGATCCATTGTGCGGTGACAAAATGCAGCATGTTTGCATTTTATCGCAGCGCCTCACATCATACCTGTGTTGTGGTGTGCATGGAACACATAGAAAACAACTGATTTCTATGTGTCCTAGTGGCTACCTGCACTGACCTGGTGCAGCACAGCGCAGGTCACCACACTACGTGTGAACGGGCCCTCACTGCATCTCGCACCTCCTATAAAGGTGCGTTTGAACTGCAGGCAAAGCAGGTCAAACGCATTCATTTGCACGGCAAATGCAGAATGCCTGTCAACGAGAACCCGCGTTCTGCTTTGGATCACATTTGTCAGACCTTTTCATCAGTGTATAGTGAAAGAAGGAGAATTGCAATCCTGACTAGCAAGCCCTGCTTCTAATTGGGACTTTGTCTAACATTTTACATATTACAAGATGCAGGGTTCACTTGCTGATTGCCAAATCACCAACACTTTTTTTTTTATTGGAGAGAGTGGGGAAGACTTAGAACCTGCCAGGTATGTATGCTGCTTGTGTTCCTGTTGGGAACATCTCCCCTTCCAGTCCAGGGGACAGTGCTCATGAAGCAGGAAGAGTGCAGAAATATCTCCAACAAAGACACTGCCATTACAAGCCTCTCCTTCAGAAAATACTGTTTTACGGTCTGTCATTCTGATCCAGTGTCTTTAGAATCTTCTAGTAATGAATAACAACCATATGAATCCAGAGTTCTGACTTCGAGCTGACCATGCTACTTGCTTGACTGTCACTCACTTAAGCTATAGAAAACAGTGAGAGCCATGTCACTAGCATTTTAAGAAGTTGGTCAACAATGGCAGCCGCCATATTTCTCTGGGTACAAGTTTATTTTCTTTTAACTGCTGTAAGTCTGGGTCAAAGTTTGTAGTAAAGTCCAAGGTCTCTAACCACTTTCTACTCTATTCAGAAATAAAAAAAAGAAAGGAAAGGAAAGTAAAAGCGCTTTTATCAGTTAGAATTTTACAACGTAAAAAAGTTAACGAATAATCGGTTAATGGTACAATTAACCGGCATTATGCAGCTGTCATTTGTAATGAAAAAATAAAGTGAATACCAGGCTGAAATGCCTCAGATAACGCACAACCCCTTAAACAAACACATTGGACATTTAATAATTAAGCCAAGTACCAGCAATCTCATTATCTAGAAGTGCTGGTGTGGTATGTGGTTATCTGTTGAAGGCTACATTTACAATACATGCAATGGCAGTTTTCTTCCATCCACTATTTTCTATACTCTTAATAGTACAAAAATAAACTCAGCATAATAAATATATTTTAAAAAATTGAAGCGTTTCACCTCTCTCTATCGCCATTGCATTGTCATAGGTTTTAATTACTTTATCTTTTAGCAAAATAAACCCAGCATTATCAATAGATTTAAAAAACAAAAGAAGGTTTTCACCTCTCTCTCTTCCTCTACCTCCATTCCATTGTCCTAGGTTTTTATTACTATTTTTAGTGTGAGGGTGGTAGAGAGAAGAACAAACAAAAGAGCAGCACAGTGGTTATCACTTTTGCCTTGCAGCCCTGGGGGGGTCACTGGTTCAAATCCTGGTCAGGACACTATGTGCAAAGGAGTTTGCATGGGTTTCCTCTGGGTACTCCAGTTTCCTCCCACACTCCAAAGATATGCTAGAAGGTTAACTGGCTTCTGTCTAAATCAGTGTGCATGTTTAGTAGGAACCTTAGATTGTAAGCTCCTTGAGGGCAGGGACTGATGTGAATGTGCACTATGTAAAGCGCTGCATAAAACTGTCGGCGCTATACAACTACCTGTAATAAATAAAATAATGCACCTACAGACATTAGAGTACATTCACCTGATCTGGTAAAATTGGGGAAGGTTCATACGGTATGTCTGTATGCCTTAACCTGCTTGCAGAACATTCATATGTCTGTAGACCTTCTTTGATTTAAGGAAAATGGCCTGGGATAGATTTTTCCATTTAATCGCTATTTTTTCCTAGTTTGCTACAAAAGATTTCTTCACCCAGACTCACCTAATACCACATTTCTTCTTTTGTACAGAGCGTCTTTGCTGATATATTTGCATTGTTTTCTAACATTTGTGTTGACTTATAATGGACAGGGATGACAGGGATAATGCATGGAATAGTATTTTAATTCTAAAACTTCCATGATCTTAAGCTTGTAAAAAAAGAATTACACAACTGTACAGCATAAAAAAAGCTGATTATTCTGTAGACAATCTTACCTGTGCATGTTCTGAAGTAGTATCATTTGGAGAGGAAACGCCATTAGCTGGCTCAGTGTTAGACGGTAAAGTGCTTTCACACATTTGCTTTTCAAAAGTCACATCAATATCACTTTCGCAAATACTGGCCACATCGGTGCCAATCTCAGTTTCAGATTCTCCTTGTTTTGGACTATGTGTACTGCCATCCTGTGACTCCAAATAGCATAAACTAGGCCCTGTTCCTTTAACCCCGGAGCTCAATGAAAATTGACTAGTTCTTTTGTCAGGTCGGGATTCTGCCAACATTACACCTAATGGACAGCAGTGGGCATCAGAAATAATAACATGGTCTTCTTTCTCTGTCATAGTGATAAGCAGCTCTCTGCAATGGTTGCATCTCTCTGGCACAGTCCTCACATCTTTGGCAAGAGGGCATTGCACCAAGGCCAAGCTGTGAAATGCCCCACACACTACCTGAAGAACTCTCCGGCCAGAAAGATGTTCAACTTTTTGAGGCCTGGTCACCGGGAAGGTTGAGGTTATTAATCCAAGCTGGCAACCACTGCCCCATGCCCAGATCTCTCTATTGACAGACAAGGCAAGAGTATGTTCTTCCCCACAGGACAGCTGTATAACTCGTACCCACAGAGGAGGAGTACATTCCTGATCAGTTATAGTGACTGGCACAGGCTCGGATATTGATGGGCAGTTGGCAATTGCACATTGTCCAGCTGTGTTTTCGCCCCACATAAAAACCATTCCATTGTCTGTTACAGCTCCGCAGTGATAACTTCCTGCAGCGACACATATTACATGCTGCCCACACAATGTCTTCTCTAACAAAGGAGTACTGTAGGGCACTTCCTGTGCATTCTCCTTCCATGGCTGCTTTCCATAGCTAAAAACTTCCCCATCTAAATAAAACAAATGGAAGAGATGTGTCAGATAAAGAGGCAGTATGCCGTGTACTCTAGAAAATTAGCAAGTTTTAAACATGGTTCCTTTCCAACTTTTCCTGAAATCGACAAAGTTTGGAAATATTATGCTACTGTGGCAAACACAACAGGAATGTTCGGCTAGAAACTTTGAGTTAATATGAGCCAATAATCTAGTTGGGTTGGTCCTCATCATTACTAGGTAAGAATTACTTGATTCTGCGCTGCGAATGCCATGTGAAAGCATTCTGCTTTGAAAAGAGTAAATGTCCAAATGTTTGTCAGAATGTAGAAAAAGCTATTGATTAAGTGTCTGAGTTGCATATCAAATTGGATAGAAGGGGAAATCCTCCGCACACCTTGCAGCAATCCAGGCCTATGTAGACAATGGTGCTTATAGTGATGAAAACGGATGGCACCGTGCAGACACAATGTAGGAAGAGGAATCACCAGCACTCAGTAGAATAATCCAACATGTCCATTTATTGGACATAGGCATCACACAATCACAAGAGCTCTTCTGATTGTGTGACGTCTATGTCCAATAAATGGACATGTTGGATTATTCTACTGAGTGCTGGTGACTCCTCTTCCTACATTGAGTTGCATATCAATCACATCATATTCTGTACACTGTAAGGTTTATTAAAGGCATACGTTTGCAAAAAATAAATAAATTCACTCACACTGCAAAAAGGGAAAAATATGCATTCATTACTTTTTGGAGTGGAGCCTCCAAAGCAATGCATAGACTCCTGCAGATTGTTCCTCCAGGGCACGTGCCTTTAGTTATTTATTTGGTGGAAGTAATCAATAGACAACAAGGACGGTGATCTCACTATACTTGTACTCCATTGAGAGCTTTGTGTCCCTCTGCCACAGTTACAGTTTTTTTTATCCTGGCTGTGTCATGCACAACTGTGCCAAATTCAAAAATATACAGACGACTGCAGGAAAAAGCACCCTATGATCCATGTTCACGGAACCAATCAGAAGCCATCTTACACTGGTCCGACTTCATCACAATGAATTCTGAATAAAGATTTGTGGGTTACTGCACTTTGCTCCTTTTCCTACTTACTGAATACATGTTATTGCTGCAACAAATACTAGTCAATAATCTGGCCAGGCAATGGAAGTTCAGACAATTGCCTTACCATAGGAATGAAGCACCAAAATCAGCCTATGACATGAAAATGCATACGTTCTCGGACACTACCTAACTGACTCTAGGGGGGCTGATTTAAAATGTGTATAGCTGTGTGAATGCGCTATAAAGCAGCCCCTATTCAGTCAGCTTATTGTAACAAGGAGTTTATATACCCCGTAGCACAGCAAACTTGGTATTATGTAATGTAATATGTGCACAGTTACACATTCTCCAATGCAGGGTAAAGCAAACGGTTCACTTTCATTAACCCCCCTACAACACCACCAAGTTGCCTATACTTCCCTTCACTTCTCCACCTGAAAAAGTGAAGCTAAATACCCAGTACTTTCTGCATATAGGAGAGCATATAACTCACTTCTCTTCCTCACCTGTGACAACGCTGCTGCTCAGCAATAGGCCACTCCAGCTTTATTAGAGCAAATGCAGAACGTAAACTTTTATATTGTTCAGACAAACTTGTCCTTGGTCATAGCGTATATACCAAATTCAAAACAGATCAAATAAATGCGCCAGGTGCACAGGCTTACCCCTGACCTCCAGGCAAAATAAACACCTGGAAACAATGGAGAGGATCAACTATATGATCTGAAACAGGCACAACCAGGAGCAAAGGAACAATGACATTATAGAATAAGGAATGCTGGCTACATAACACAAATAAATAGGCAATGTAAGCAAACGTAAAAAAATAAATAAATTTAAAAAAATTACATATATTATATAATAGTAGAGAAAGAAACCAAATGTATAATGAAGATGACAAATTCCAGACACACCTAAGTAGAAGAAAGAAAAAAAAAGGGATTGAGGTGTGTCTGGAATTTGTTGTAGGTTTTGTTATAATATTTTATTGTGCCTCAGTGTCTGGTTGTATATGTGCTTTTTTAGTTCAGGTTGTGGATCCCGTTTCCTAATCAATGTTGTGGATCCATACTTTCTCAACATTTTGTTGGAAGTTAGAAGGTGAGCCATTTCACCTGATGTATTAATTCAATCTGTACACACTATGACCAAGGAAACAGTCATCCAAAACATGTAAGCGTAAGCAGTACTTGCAACATCCGGTCTAAGGGCCGGTTCACACCACAAAGTCTGCGTGCCAATGCGTTCGGCCTCTGAAACGCACTGGAACGCAAGACAGCTGGCTCCCTTAGTGCTTGCGTTCCGGTCCAGTGCGATCTGCAAAAATAGTTTGCAGTTTTTTCCTGCATCCCAGATATCCTGTTGTGGGTGCTACCATCTTCAAATCAACCAGGTGGACAGGATTCTTGCTGTAACAAGCAGGACCTTTTTTTTTTCCTGCCAATTACCTACTTGGCTAAATCCATAAGGCTGGATTCACATGTAGGCGACAGGTTTTTTGCGCTCTTTTATTAAATCACGTTTTTGTGAGATTGTAGCTCATTGATGAGCAAACACGCAAAAACACAGCAATCGCGCGTTTTCAAGCGTTTCCTAATGAGTCTGTGGGGCCAAAATGAGCTGTAATATGCCACAAAAACCACTCCTGTATATTTTCCAGCGACCGACGTTTTGCTTATTGCAACAAAACGCTCAGATGTGAACAGGGCCATAGAAATGAATGGGATTTTTTTTGGGGGGGGTTGAGCATTTTTTAAGGCAGAAAAAGCGCTACAATCAATGTGAACCAGACGGAAGACTACCAGCATTTGGCTCAGGATCTAAGTTTATTCTGCTAAAGATGGCCACATGTGTTGCAATTTGATTTACCAATAGCTATGTAGGTCAAGGGCCTATCTAAGCAACCCATCAATGTATATTCTGTCAGGTGGGCTCATGCTACAGTTGTCAAAAGCAAATTGTACAATCAGACTGGAGCATGTGTGGCAAGCAGTAGCTCAGGTTCAGATGCAATCTGTGCTCATTTGAACCTGGAATGCCCTTGCCACAGCTGACTGGGCTGGCACTGACAGCTTCCTTCTGGGTCTGCAGCAAACCTGAGCTCATCCCTAGTGGCAAGGTAAGTGTACACCAGTCACTCCAGCAGTGGCTGATGGTTTTTGTATTTTAAAAGGAAAGGTGCTCTTTAATCCGCCCTAGTAAATTCACAAGGAATATAAATACCAACCCGATCATTATTAACATACCATAGACCACTAATAAAGCATACATGAACATAGAAGCCAAGCATACATACCACTAGTGAGCAGCAAGCCATGATGAATTCCAAGGCTTGCATGTAGTACAGTTTTTGCCCCCAATCCATGAAGCCTCTCTGGTTTGGCTTGAGTTGACCTCACTTGCCATATGTGTACTTCACCTCTTTCTTTAGCTCCTTCGGAGTCTTCCAAACTAGAAGATATGTATAGTATTTAACTGACATATAGACATCATGTTTACAAACAGCTGTGACAAAATTTCTATTTTTACAGACTGCAGGATGCAAATGTGTTTACATGTAGCCTACAGCAGTTCAGCAAAAGTTTAAATTATGAGTAAATGTAAGACAGTTCTAAATATATTAATCCTTTCAACATTTTCACAACTAAAGCTAAAGTGACTTTTGGTCCATTTATGCAGGGCAGGGATAACTAAATCTCTCAGGACCTGGGCTTCAACAACCAGGCCGTCAAAGCCATCGACGGAGAAAGGAAGATAGTGGACCAGGCCTTGGGACAGAAAGTCGGAGTGGTCTGGAAGAGCCTGTGGGGAGTCTGCCAGGAGCCTGAGGACATCCTAGCACCATATACTCCTAGGCCAGTTCAGCGTGACAAGAATCACTGGAGCACCCTCCACCTTGATCCTGCAGAGTAGCTGAGGGAGGATCTGAATAGAGGGAAAGGCATAGACCAGGGTGAACTGCTACCATGGAGTCACCAGAGAATCCAAAGGCCTGGGGATCCATGGTTCTATTCACAAATCTGTCCAATGTATTGTTAATCCTGGGCACCAGGAGTCCCACGTCCAGCATTCCCCACTTGCAACAAAGGTCTTGAAAAGCCTCAGGATGGAGGGACCATTCTCCAGGGTCCAGGCGCGGCTGACTGAGAAAGTCTGCCTGCCAATTTTCCATGCCTGAGATGTGGAAGGCAGACAGGACAGGAACATGATACTTTGCCTGGGCCAGAATCAAGTCTGCTTTCTTTTAAGCTGCACAATTTTGGATACCCTCCGGATCCTCCAAAACATCGGGAGGACAGATTTCCTCAATTGCAGTGCCAATTTTAAAATCCAACATGCCAGGGCCTTGCTAGTCAGGTGCATGGGGTGATCTAGAGTTCTGGAAGGAGTAGCAATCTAAACTGGGGTTATGAAGCTGCTCTAAAGGTGACCATCAAAACCCGGAACCCTCATGCAAGACTGAACTGGGGGGTCGGCTCCTGGATTGAAGGGTCAGAGCACGTAAGTCTAAGGATAGGTGTTTTTATGGGGGAACAATGACTCTGGATAGCGTAGTGTCCAATATAAGGTCCAGGTACTCCAAGCCATGAGTCAGCGTGCTTTATTTTGGAAGTTTATTCCTCTGCAGTAATGAAAACAATAACATGTAGAGAGTGGAACTGCTTTAAGGCAGTGAATAAATATCTTTGTCTTTGAGGGGAGACAAATTTGAAGGCATGAAGCAGGGCGGAGGCTGCGTCCAAAACTCTATTTGGTAACCCCTGGAGATAACGCCCTGGACCCAAGTACCTAGAACATCCTGAGTCCATATAGCCATGAAAGCGGACATGCATCCTCCCAATTCAAGAAGTGGACGTGGGGGGGTCTTGGGGCCTGCTTTGTTAGACTTGGAAGCCTAAGTTTTGTGGCGGAACTGGGTGCCTGGATTAGACCTGGAAGATGCGGCCTGAGAGAAATGAAAACCCTTAAAGGGCCCAATAGCTGGGGTCTTGGAAGCATGAGGCTTAGCTTTCTTTTTGAGGCAAAAGCCTCTGACATTAGTAACCTGTAATGTAGGTATCCAAAGATGTCTTCTCTCAAAAGGGCATACTCGAGACACTTCTTGCAAGCAGGTCCTGCCAGCCAGAACTTGGGCCTGTACATTGTACAGAAAGAAAGGCCATCCTGGAGACTTGGCAGAGTCCCCTAATCTATAAACGCAGTAATGCAAGGCTGCGGGAAGGAGCTCTAGCCGTCGAAGAACCGACAGGTCCGCTAGGATAGAACTAGGATCTTGGTTTATATGTCTGGTCCAGACCACAAGGGTCTGACAAATTGACATGGTGGCAAAATCTGGTTGCGGGGCTGGCCCTGCCAGCATGAATGAGTGCTTGAGAAGCACTTCAAAGTGTTTTTTCACAGAGTCCTTGAAGACCGAAAAATCCTTACCCGGGACCGTCAGGGTCTTTCAAGACAAAAAATTGCTCAGGCAATAGACAGCAACTGCGTGCTTCATGTAAACTCGGTGTACATAGCTGGCATATGTTTTTTTGTTTGTTTTTTAAATACCTCTGCAAAATGGTGCAAATGGGCTATAAAGAAGAAAACCAGGAAAAAAATGTATTAACCCTTGCAGTGGGGCTACCCCCACACTGCAGGGGTTAAGTGCTCGATTGCGTCTGGGTGCTTAAAAAAAAAAAAAAATTATATTCACCCTCTTTAAGTCAGCATATTATACATACCTTTCTTTCTGTGTGTCCATGGGTCAGCATCACAAATTACTTATGCCAAAAGATGTTAAACAAAGCTGAAGAAAAAAAGGAAAACCAGAGCGTAAAACATCCAGAAAGTTACTTCTAGAAAGTCATGACAGTTGTAAACACATTGCTAAATATCTAAAGCATATCACACTGTAGAGCCAAACACTGGGACAGCTGTGTCCCATGACCCATTCATGCAGTAAATACAGGCAGCTGCCAGATTTGTACACCCAACATGAAAATAAACAGGGAGAAGGCTTACTGGTTAATGACAGCACTCGATATTCATAGCAACTGTGCATGAGGACAGATAACTGCGTACTTCTTTTTGCTTTATAGGATCAAAAAGGTGCACAGAAAATTATTCTTACAATTTATCAAGAAGTAATAATAATAACCAGAATTATTTAAAGTAGAACTCCAGTCAAATCTTTTTTTCCCCCTCCTATTCTGGATGGAGAAGGGCAGAACCTCTGTCAGGTTTTTATTGCTTTTTATGTTCATGTTGAAGAACCGAGAGGTCCGCTAGGATAGAACTAGGATCTTGGTTTATATGCCTGGCCCAGACCACAAGGGTCTGACAAATTGACATTGTAGGGCTGCAACAACTAATCGACTAAATCGATTATTGAAAAAGTTGTCAACGTTTTCAATCATCGATTAATCGGCTTCCGATTAGTTGGCCCTGTTCACGGCTCCACACACGCTGCACCTCCTCCCCACCTCACGCTCGCCGCTGCCAGATCCGCCCGCCCACATCCACACCTTCTCCCAGCCTCACGCTCACCACCCGCCCACATCTACGATCGGCACAGAGGCGCGGTGAGAAGTAGTAAGGATGGGCAGGTGTGGGGGGATGACAGCCGCCGATAGACAGGCCCGATCTCAGAAGCAAGTTGCTGGAAGACTGCTCAGGTAAGCGTGCACTTTCCCACACATGGTGCTCTATAATGTATTGCTGGGATAGTGGGATTTGTAGTCCTCTATAGCTGATGGTACATTGTGCTGTATATTATACCATCAGCTATAGAGGACTACAAATCCCAGCAATACATTATACACTATATGTATAATGTATTGCTGGGATTTGTTGTATTCCTATATAGCTGGTGGTATTCTGCATTGCGCTGTATAGAGGACTACAAATCCCAGCAATAATACATTATACAGAGCAATGCGGAATACCACCAGCTATAGAGGAGTACAACAAATCCCAGCAATATTACATTATACAGTGGTGCAATGCAGAATACCACCAGCTATAGAGGACTACAAAACCCAGCAATAATACATTATACAGTGGTGCAATGCAGAATACCACCAGCTATAGAGGACTACAAAACCCAGCAATAGTACATTATACAGTGGTGCAATGCAGAATACCACCAGCTATAGAGGACTACAAAACCCAGCAATAGTACATTATACAGTGGTGCAATGCAGAATACCACTAGCTATAGAGGACTACAAAACCCAGCAATAGTACATTATACAGCGCAATGCAGAATACCACCAGCTATAATGTACTATTGCTGGGATTTGTTGTATTCCTCTATAGCTGGTGATATTCTGCATTGTGCTGTATAATGTACTATTGCTGGGATTTGTAGTCCTCTATAGCTGATGGTATTCTGCATTGCGCTGTATAATGTACTATAGCTGGGATTTGTAGTCCTCTATAGCCGGTGCCATTCTGCATTCATTGCTGTATAATTTTACACTT